ATAATTGTTTTCCATATTTATATGAGTGTAATGCACGTATGTACTTTAATACTGATGTTTCTTTTGGCTTTCAAATAAATATTGCACGACAATTTGTATTTGCTTATTAAATGAATTCGGCACGCCGACATTTAAATACCCTTGCAGGCATATCTATGTTTATATACTTATAACTAATAATTTATAAATATATTTAAAATTATTTTCTGCAGTAAAATTTCTGATAAACGAAATCTACGCGCTTGCAAGGGTATATTTATTAAAGAGTAGTTAACTTTTATATATTTAGATGGAATTTTACACACTTTTTAAATGTAGAACCAGGAGAAATGAGACCCAAATCCTTACATTTACCAATCCAAATCTGCTTTGTATATGTAGATCAGTGCTTTAAGTTAAGATCCTAATAGAATTTAAGTTCAGAAATTATCTGAAGAATCAACAGATCAGTCAAAGGTGCAGGTTACGAAAATCAGTTCATTCTGTAGAATATTATATAGATTTAAAGTAAGGGACTAGCTCAGGGATTGGATTTTGGAAATCTTTTTATGAAACTAAAAAACATTTTGAAATAATTTCAAATATACTAATTTCAACAAAGTAACATAAGCTTGCAATACGAGGTACCAGCTTGAAACAGTTACAACTCTCACCTTCTGGTCAAGTGCTTCCGACTAGAGTAAATATGTGAGCCAAATAATTAAGCTTAAACGTAGTTCTTTTATTACTGAGATAAGCTTTATTCAGTGAATAAGTCGATAACTACGATAAGGCGAAGGAAAGATATTGAGATTAGAGAATTAATAATGATGTGATGTTAGAATTTAGACATAGGAAATGAGTAATGAGAGGAACGGGTTATTCAATGACCAATTTATTAAAATCTCTCAAATATTTGAGGTTTTCAATTGCTGAATTCAGATGCACCAATTCGATTCAAAACAAAGGAAACGCGCTCGCTTGCTAAAAACTGCACTTATTTGTAGATGCTTCAACTGCCACGCCCACATTCACCCACATTGACACACATTAAGACAAACACACAGACACTTATTCATAGTGTAAACAAAACACGCATAGAAAATGTCAAGAGTAAGAAAAACAATAGAAGCAGGTGTGCTGCATCGTAGCCAGCATCCAATCCAAGCCAAGCAAAGCCAAGCTGAGATCTATATAGCCATATTGCTTTTATATCGTGTATATCGCATTTTGATTGTTATTCTCGCCTTGCCACAGCATCAGCCGAACAATGGACTCATTTGACATATCAAGCGAGGAGGAGGAGGCACTGCTCGAGGAGATTGTCGTAGGCAATGGCAGCAGCTGTCACATGAAGACCCTGCAGCGACTGCAGCACTGGCACTCCGCCTCCGCCTCGGCATCGTCCTCATTTACACGCACGCAGCACAGGCAGCAATATGAGCCGACCGAGTCGCCCATACACTATTGCGACCATGCGGCGCTCTACTCAGATGACAATGCCCAGGAGCAGCCAGCGGCAGCAACACAGCCCACGATACGCTGCAGCAGCAGCAGTCAAAGCAATCTGGCCATCGAGACTGAGCAATACGACGATGAGGAGCCAGAGGGGGAGGGGGAGGGGGAGGAGGATGGTGATGCTGACGCTGATGCAGTGGCCAGTGGCTCGGGCGCTGGTGGCCAGCACCGTTTACATACCTCCTTTAATCATCAGCTTACAGCGGACATGTGCAACTACAAGAACTCGAAGAGTCGCCGCCTGGAATACTCGCTCAAGTGTCTGAAGTATGGACGCAGTAATCCCTCGCAGGATTCGGCGTTCGGTTCGCTAACCGACAACGATTTGTCCATTGGTTCATCGAGCATACGCCTCAACAGTTTCCAATCCATCTCGTCACCAATTGACGAAGGTGTTGAGGACGTGATTATAGCCACCACAACGGGCGGCAATGAGACCTGCTTGGAATTGGCCACCATACCGCGCAGCATGGTCTCCCAGGACTCGGCCATCTCGTCGCCCTGCCGTGAGAGCTCTCCCAGCAATTTCTTGCACATCGACGATGCTATGTCCGGCACAGGCTCCACTTCATCCGGATCTGGCTGCGCCTCACTGGGCAATATACGACCACAACATTTCCCTGTTTCGCTGTCTCCAAAGATTCTCGTAACGGCCACTAGTAATTCAAGCAGCTCCTCCTTAGCCTCCACTGCGCACACTCAGCAGCAGCAGCAGCAGCAATTTGATCCGCCCAAGATTCTTGTTAATGATCAGAACTCTATATACACCACATCGCCTTCGAAGCGCTCCAGCATGATTGAGGTCTTCTCGCAGAAGTATCGAGTGAGCTCCTTTGAGGACATGTCACCCAAGCGCTCCAGTTCCGATAAGCACCACTTGAAACATGTCAACCGCTTGGCCTTTCGCTCCTTAGAGGAGGAGCGACGCATCGATAATGCCTTCATGCCCATGTCGGATCGCACCCATTCGGACAATCGCGTCAATATGCAGAGTGAGAAGTACAAAAAGCTGACGCATGCCTCCTTTCGCATCAGCAAGACCTCGTCCAGCCAAGACCAATCATCGCCCACCAATCATCCAGCCTCCTGCAACATGGAGCTGCAACGCACGGGCAGCTCCACGGGCAGCCAGCGCCAAACTCTATGGAGGGATAGCAAATTCTATCGTAAGAATCGCATTGCCAAGAGCAATGATTCGCTGCTGGATCACTCGCCCAATCACTCGTCGGCCCGTCTCTCACCCGGCTCGCAGGGCAGTCGCCGATCACTGAGCGTCACGACTAGCTTCTGCGGCCAGGCAGGCCAGGGCACGCGGCGTTATTGCAGCTCCAAGAGCGAGGATCTGGGCGAAACTTCTGACTATTTGCGTGTCATGGACGCACGCAAGTCGTATTCGGAACGGCATCTGGTGCGGCTCAAGCAAACAGCCATTAACAATATGCACAGCGGCAGCGAGGACGAAATGAGCTTCAACGATGACAATAATGCCTCATCAGCAGCAGTCAACAGCAGCAGCAGCGGCAGCACCCATGGATACCAACAGCAGCAGCAGATGCAGCTGCGCTGGAGCAGCTGTTCCATCAACCATCTGAAGACGACCAATATTAAGACCACATCCCTGGCCACGCTCACCTGCCAAACGAATTTAAGCTCCCAATTTCCACCAACTGCCAAGACGGCCAGCTATCGCACACCATCCAAGTCCCTCGATCAGGCACTCGACGTCAACAGCAACACCAACAGCAGCAACAGCAACAGCAACAGTAGCAGCAACAACAGCAGCAAGGACAACAGCTCCGTGGATGAATCGCCATCGAGGCAAACTTTAAGCGGAGCAGAGCTATCACGTATCTTTGTCATGGACATGGATGATGCGCCAGGGAGCAGCTGCAGCGAGGAGAAGACTCCTCTGCTGGATAGCGTCGAAATGTCACCGATCAGTCCAACTGAACCGCAATCGGAGCTGAAAAAGCTATAAGCAACAGGCGCACAGTCTAAAGCGGCCCAAAGGCAAAGCATGTGATAAATGATAAACATATGTACATGTGCATGTGTGCGTGTATGTACTTACCAATGCAATCGAAGGGGAGACCATCAAGTTATTTAGTTTAATGGAAACAAGTTTAAGCTGCTGCAAAGCACAATTCACTAGTTGACAACTTGCCATTTTGTTTGTTTATAGCGCAATGACACTTCCTGCTTTTGCCTTCGGTATATGCACTTGTCTACACTGGAGCAGCTATTGGAAGAATTCCGTTTGTATAAGGCGCGATGACACTTGCAAATTTTTTTTGCATTCCACAGCACTGTTGCAGAGTATTGATTGTTCTCATTTGCTTGTCGCATGATTACTATCGCTGCTTTTCCCAACACTGGTGCAGTATATTAAGCGGTGTCATGCTACAGCCGTTTGTCTTGCTTGCTTCGACGCCCTGCCTTTAATATCAGCATTACGTGGTGTCACTCTACTGTAAACCGTATGCCATTCAAATGAACGGTCCAACAATGATCGAGGGGCTGCTTTCGCCTTTGCCCACCCACATCCACACTTAAAGCTTTCTTCTGGTAACAATAATATTTTCTTTATATGTATTGTATTTTACGCTTATAATGTACAACTGTACAAAGGCGCTTTTACTGTAAATAAGTCTTTACAGATGCTTTTCAACTCTCTAGACTGCTAAGCGAAAATAAATTAATAAATAATAAAATTAAAAAAAAAAACAAAAGGAAATATTATTATACATATTATATATATATATATATATATATATATATATATATATATATTATATATTATATATATATATATATATATATATATATATATATATATATATATATATATATAATATATAATATATATATATATGAGCATCAATTACACCTTTTTTAGCGTATGAACTTATACACACATTATTTGTAGCCAACTACACAGCTAAGACTTAAGCTTCGCAGCAAGTATTGAAAATATTTTACTGTAGCTTCAAATCGTTTTAAAGCCCAAGAAAAAAGGTTAACCAAAATAAAAAAAATAGAGTGTTAAATAAAACCAAATGGATCACGTTTTAAATACAAACATATATAAAAATCTAGAGTATAACAGAGCCAAAAACAAAAAAGTATAAAATAATTAAAATTACAAATATTTATATAGATAAATAATAAAAAAATAACTAAATGCAATTTAGTATAAAAAATATAATGTAATTCAAATGTTTTAGCAGGGGTTTTTTTCAGTTTTGACGGACAACCGAAAGGGGAAAATAGAAAAATGGAAAAATGGGTCACATGCAGAGCAGATAGAGTATACGAAAATAATGTAATCAAAACACAAGAGTTCAAAAAATTCAGTAAATTATAATAAATAAATACATTTTTGTTGACAGACGAAAAGAAATTGCACTTATCATAAATATTGGAAGTAAAACCATTAAAATACAGAAAACCAAAAGAAAAATGAAAGTTAATCTTAAATCTAAGAATGTTAACGAAACATACAATAAAAATGCAATCAGATTTACAAACTTATATATATCAGAAAAGCACTCACCAAATAAGGAAAATAAATATATATATACAAGAAAACAATAAGAGAAAACTACATTTAGATGCACTCACCTAGCAAGAAGCACTTCATGGAAAGTTCCCGAATTAATCGTTCGATCTGGAACAGAACACAGAGTTCCATATTCAGGCCACATACATAATAGCAAGAACATTTGCTTTTGGTTTATTATTACTACAATTAATGCATAAGTAGAAATTTGATTTTAAATATTAAGGTGTTATATTAAAAAGTTTGTGTACATTTATTTGATAAGTATGAAAATAGTTTAACTCTTCATGTGTGTGTGTACGTATCCTTTTGAAAAATGTTGCCCAGGACAAGGCGCAAATCAAAAACAAAAGAACAAAAAAATCGACCCCAAAATGAATTTTAAATGCTAAACTTGTTTATAGAATCAGTGATATTAAGTAAATATTTTCATGATTTCAAGTTTTGAAATAAAAAACATAAATCTAGAAATTCAATACAAAAAATAGTATCTTTGTCTTTTGAGACATATTTTCAAACTGCTCGGATGTTTTCGTTTTGTGGTGCCCATGAGGCATTTTACAACACTCATATTTTCATTATGTTATTAGCAAGCCGCCACATTATGTAAATATTTTCGATTATTCGATAAACTGAGTTACTAAAATATCAGTATTATATCGATAAGCCGCCACTCCAGCTGTTCGTTTTCGACATATCGATAATACGAATCGAAATAAACAAATGAAATAGCGGCAAAAATACAAAACAAATCGGACAAATGGCAACTTTTAAACCAAAGTTTATAAAACCAGAGACAGACGATGCCATCGCTGATGGAGGTGGCAACCAGGAGCCACAAAATTCAGCATTCGTATTCAATGCCAATCACAATCTCGGTCTAGTTGAGCAGCGAGAGCGCTTGCCGATTCGCAAGTATCGCGACCAAATCCTCTACTGTCTGGAAAACTTTCAAGTTGTCATCCTGGTCGGAGAGACAGGCAGTGGCAAGAGCACACAGGTGCCGCAGTACCTCTACGAATGGGGCTGGCACAGCAAGGGCATGATTGGCATCACAGAGCCTCGCCGGGTGTCCACCGTGACGCTAGCCAATCGCGTGGCCCAGGAACGAGGCGAGCTGGTGGGTGATACTGTGGGTTATGTGGTGCGCTTTTTAGAGCGCACCTCTAATGACACACATATTAAATTCATGACAGAGGGCATTTTGTTGCGAGAGCTACTGGCCGATCCACTGCTCACCCAGTATGGAGTCATCATTGTCGATGAGGCGCATGAGAGGAATATGCTCACGGACATGGTGTTGGGTCTTTTGAAAAAGATCCTGCGCAAGCGCAGCAATTTAAAATTGATAATCTCCTCGGCCACCATCGATGCGAGCTTCTTCAGCGAGTTCTTCAGCTGGCCCCGATCAGGAGCTGAAGCGAATCAGCTCATCAGCGTGAAGCTGAGTATCGAGGGACGCATGCACGCTGTCAGCCACTTCTATTTAAACGAACCCTGTGCGGACTATGTTCGCGAAACGGTGGAAACTGTATGGAAATTGCATCAGAAGGAGCCACCAGGCGATATACTGGCCTTTCTAACAGGTCAGGAGGAGGTGCTAGAGGCAATGGACTTGCTCCGTGAGTACATTGCCAGCCAGGAAACGACTAATCTCAAAGTGCTCCCCATGTATGGCAGCATGACCAGCAACGATCAACTGGCGGTGTTCTTTACCCCGCCCAAGGGAGTACGCAAAGTAGTGCTGGCCACGAATATAGCAGAGACTTCCATCACGATACCAGGCATAGTGTACGTGATCGATTGTGGCTATGTTAAGGTCAAATGGTACAATCCCACTACCTGCAGCGACAGCCTCGTTGTCGTACCCGTTAGCAAGGCGTCGGCTATACAGCGGGCCGGTCGTGCGGGTCGAGTGCGTCCCGGCAAAGTCTATCGTCTGTATACGAAACAGGATTACGATGCACTGGCCCCACGACAGCCGCCAGAGTTGCGTCGCAGCGAGATGAGCGGAGCAGTGCTGCAGCTCAAAGCTTTGGGCATTGGCAACGTTTTGCGCTTCGACTTTCCCTCGCCGCCGCCTGCCCAAAATCTTTTGTCCGCTCTGGAGACGCTTTACGCTCTGGATGCTATTGACGAACAGGGAGAGCTTACCCGACCTGTTGGCTTTCTTCTTGCTGAACTGCCCTTCAGTGCCATGTTGTCGAAGATGTTATATGTATCTGGCCAAATGGGCTGCGCAGAGGAGATTATTACGATCATTGCCATGCTCCAAGTGCAGTCCGTATTCTCGCGTCCCGCCTCAGCAGCTGCACAGCAAAGCGGACGCATTGCTCATCGACACTTCGAGGTGGCAGAGGGAGATCTTATTACCCTGCTCAATATACACAGCGCCTTTGTGGAAGAGGGCATGACCAAGGAGTTCTGCGGTCAATACTATCTCATCTATAGAAATCTAAAGCGCGCCTGCGAGCTACGGGAACAGCTGTTGAATCTGGCCAGGAAAAAGTATGGCATTGCCATATTCTCCTGCAAGGGCGATGTGGAAATGGTCTGCAAGTGCATCACGGCTGGCTTCTTTACACAGGTTGCCTATCTGCACCACTCTGGCGTCTACCGGCAGATCAGCAGCGGCACCGAGCTAGCCATACATCCCAACTCTACGCTATATACGCTGCCCCAGGCGCAGTATGTGGTCTATGGCGAGTTGCTGCAGACGACAAAGCTGTTCATGAACCACGTCACGGTCATCAAGAAGGAGTGGCTCACAGAGCTGGCGCCGCACTACTATCAGCAAACCACAGTGCGGGACTAGGGGATGGGGGATTGTTGGTAAACAATATTCGGAATATATATCGATACTTAAAGCGTCTTATAACAATTTAAATATAAACTAAAGTTAAGTCGTTGGCTCGGTTGTTAGCCTGCAGCCACTCGGCCGCGACCCTGGAAGAGCATCATGGATTCCGGACCGCGTATCACACGCGACATGAGCTCCCAACACATCTTAGCGGGCAATAGGCTGCAAAGAAGCAATTTATGTTATACAATGTACAAGGATATCAAGGAGAGATCTCACTCACCATTTGAGCGGCGTGAGCAAACGTATTGAATTGGGGAGCACACACCAGACCTCGTTTTGGAGCACTGCACCCTGAATACGATCCGCGACGTACTGGGGCTCCAGCATGGGCATCATGCGTGGCTTGACTCCCGAGAACATGCCTGTGTTGATGTAGTAAGGGCAAATGAGACTCATCTGTATCTGATCATAGCCGTGCGCCTTGAGGTCCGTCAACAGGCTCTCGTGGAAGCCAATGCAAGCGTATTTGGTGGCCGCATAGTCGCTGCAGCCGTAGGTGCCCAGCATGCCAGTGACAGAGCCAACGGTCACAATGTGGCCACGATTGTGACGCATCATGTGTGGCAGGAAGGCCTTCACCGTCCAGTAGTGCGAGATGATGTTGATGTTGTAGGTATTCTGGATGACACGATCGTGCAGCTCCCAGAAGGGCTTGCAGCAGACGATGCCCGCATTGTTGATCAGTATGTCAACAGGGCCGACATCCTCGATGACCTGTGCAGCACGCTGATAGATCTGATCTCGATCCGATATGTCCACCACGTAGCCCTTGCAGTTGTTGAAGCCATGTTTGGCCAGCAAATCAACTGTCGTCTTGATGGCTGTCGAGAGAAGAGTCACGGTTAGCTAATCAATTTGGTAAGTGTAACGCAGCTTTCTCCATTGGAGGGTTCCTTAACCCGCCGAGCGAGCTGCTAATTGCCAACGCTGACGTGCTCCAATCACTTAGCTGGGCAGCGTTAATGAGCCGCAGCGAATCTGTTGCTTAACCCACCTTCTTGATTGATGTCCCAGATGACAATGCGCGCTTCGAGTCTGGCGAAGTTGAGCGCTATCAAACGACCCACGCCACCGCCACCACCTGTTATCAGCACCACCTGTCCAGCTACATTCTGGTCAAACGCAAAGAAAACGAAATGAAGTTGTGAGAATAAATATAAACAAAATTGTATAATTTAAAACTAAAAAAAAAACAAAAACATTTAAACTTAAATATCGATATAATGTAAACTTTATCAGTTAATTAATTATATTAAAATTATATAAATTGAAGAAGAGACAATATGTATATAATAACTAATATAATCAACAGTTGTATAATAATGTAATATGATATAATATTACTATAAACATTATTAAACAAAATGTTCATTCCAAATTTAATTTGGATGTAAACAATTAAAAATTAATATTTCAATTATATTATATTATAAAACTAAATAATAACATATTTTATAATATAAGGTATCCAAATATGGAATATGAATATATCTATATCTATTTATCTAAATGTTATAAATGTCTGTTTGAAGTTATATATCATATACATTTTAAAGACCATGGAGTAGAGATATATCTATTATAACTATATAGCTGCGTATCTTGAAGATACAAGAGAAACGTATCAAAGATACAAACATGAATATTTATGCTTTGTGTAGAGTATGGATGTGTCTAAATGTGATCAGTATCTATGTTAATCTTTCTCATTGGTATGAGTACGCACCTTGAAGATACAAACGAAAAGGGCGCATTCGAAAGACACAAAAAAGGAATTTTTAATGTGCAGCAAGCGTTTTGCATATCTTTTTATGGACGCCTAACCAAGTTTTGGAGCTGCGCTTGCAACATGTAACATAGCTCAAAGTCGCTTTTGTAAGCAGCTGCTATTTCGACATGTCTCATAAATAAATATTATAAGATACATATGTATGTATATATATATATATATATATATATATATATATATATATATATATACATATGTATATATATATATATATATATATAAATAGAGTTCAATCAAGTTTAGTTTTCATGCTTGGCTTACTACGGCACAAAGACATTTTTGTTAAGCCCTCGCTTATATATATTTGGATACTCTAGTCGTAGCATAATATTATTTTACTTGATTTTCTTTTGTGTTGCGGCAAATAATGCCAGGTTTGCTGATTTCAGCGCAGGCGCAGCAGCAACAAAAGAAAATATGCATAAGGCAGAGAAACCAGTTCGCAAAGCATAAGATTAAAACACTGGCATTTCCCCTCCTCAATTAGAAATATTGAAAACTATATTGAACGGCTTTTAAGCAGAGTCTTCAAAGACTTCCCATGCTTCACTTCAATGTCAGATGCCCCAATTGAAAGCAAATAACCGAAGTCGATCTTCAGCAATTATAAATATTTGCAGATGCCATGGTAGCGGGCACTCGAATCACGAGTGACGTCCACGAATGCCAAAACAAATGTCCAAAGCCAAACACAAACTGTGCAAATAAAAAAGACGCATTCATTGATAAAAAGCCAGGCCGAAAAAACTGGCCAGCGTGTGAATACGATTTTTTGTCTTTGTATTTAGCTTCGTGCGTTCATTGAAGTATGTCCAAACAAAGCCAATGTTTTGTTGCAGATTTTGCTGCTCATCGCTGTCAAAGTTGAATTTTACAACTGTTGTAAAATTGTAGGAAGACCAACGCCAAATTAAATTGGAAAGTTAAAGCCATAAAAATGCCTGTACAAACGATCTTTTTGACGGATAGCACTTAACCAAAATCGCAAAAGCGCGTGTTGCACCTTCATCAGACGTGTAGACAAATACTTCATACTAATCAGCCTTTATTAAATCATTATACCAATAATTACAATAAAATTGCGCTAGTCAAGAGTGCTCGACTAGCATATACCCTGACCACTGCGCAGAGCTCTTAAGGCAATCACTCTACGGTTCGTTTACGTGTCACAGGGACTTTGACAGTTAATTAAAATACTCCTTGACAAATAAAAAAATTCTGATAGGCTCTAAACTTTATGCTATACAGAAATAAACACTTGGAATTTCTAGTCCTTAGCTCCAGTGGCTTCTAAGATTGTTGCATTCATACGGACAAACAGACGGTCAGTAGAAAAAGGAAAGACCGACTCAAGAAAAAATATTTTTTATGGGATCTGCCACGCCTTCTTCTGTCTGTTACATGCTTTTTCATAATCCAATTATGGCCAATTCACATTGTTAAATGGGAATGGCTTCAACAACATATTTTCGACATGATTTAGTTTTATTATTGCTTCAAGTAGTTCACTTTAACTGAATTTAATTATGAATAATTGAAATGTGCAAAAAATGTGTTGAAGATAAAAATAGACTAATGTGGTCAAAAAATAATAATTAAGTCAAATTTATGTAGTCATTCATAAAGTTAAGATAAGTAAGCGCTGACTTGTCTAACAGGGTTACAGAACTAGTTACATTTAGTCTTTTCTTAACCCATATATCAAATGTCAACAGTCAAATAAATAACATGACGACGCTAAGGCCAATGATATAATATAATTATTTAATTACGCAAATATAGTCTGTTTCATTTCGTTTTTCCTCACCTTCAACTTTCTAAAGCGCTGCGGCAATATTGTATAATAAAGCGATTCAAATATATAGAAAATCGATTTCAAACCAAACACAATTAGGTCCAGGCAGAATTGATAGAAAGCCACAAACGGCTTATCCATGTGCAGCAGGCCAGGAGGCGTGGAATTGCTCATTATGATCGATCGCTGTCTGACCAGGGCCTTGTAACGATTGAGCCAAATGAAACGCACGTGTTCCGCGAGTAGCGTATGCGAACCACGTTACAATACGATTTTGACCGTCTGATAGCTTTTGTTATACGCGCCTAGTGGGCCAAGCACTTTGCATGCTAATGATCAGCCCAGGTAGTGGTGAGCCAGGTATTCACGAATTCAAATGAAACTCATTTAAAATTTCTCTATGCGCGCGTTCGCGAATGTCTTTTGTTGCCGCTTTTTTATTATTTTTATTTCGTTGTTGTTGTTGTTGTTTCTTTTATTTGCGCAGGCGCACGCCACGTTTATTAAAATTTCGTCTGCGACTCGACTCTGACTTTGTGTTTATATTTGTGTTTTGCCTTGGCTGGCCGCTCTTGTGTCCGCGTCCGCGTCGTCTGTTTGTGCTGAAGTCACAATACAAACTGAAACCCAGCGGAGTCTTGTCGGAGCTCAGCCGCTCTTTCTACTTTTATTTTACACATTCATTGGTGGGCGACGCAGAGAGATTTACAACAACAACAACAACAAAATGACTATAAAATAGTCAAGCTTAAGGGAAATATCAGCAAAACAAAAAACAGCCTCTATTACTTTCTTAACTTGGCTAGCGGCACAGCTGCTAACCTCTTCTGCCGAAGAAGTCGACGGAACCAGTTTGAAATACGTTTTATTATTACAATGAGGTCTATAGCTTAATCTTTAATCTTAGTCAAAAACTCCTTTCATTCATTCATTCAATTATATTTCAAATTAAATAAATAAATACAAAGCTTTTGATATCATGTCACAAATATGCGAATTTATAGTTTCTGAAATATTAATATAAATTATGATTTTATTGTTTTAATCAGGGTCAGTTGATGCTCAGCATGCAAATTTCCATATGAGCCTAAACTATCTAAGCGACGCAGAAAACATATCAAAGCATGCTTTTAGGCATAATATAAAATCGAAAACTAGCAGAGATTCGTGTGTATTGGTACGTAAAGTATCTATGACTTAAATAGGTCAGGTTGGTGGTTCGAACCTCGCTCAGAACTGTGAATGTATAGAAGTTTTTTCATTTATTTGTACTTATATATATATTTTTTAATAAAAATAAATATCTCAAATATAAATATGAATTTATCTTATATTTTTAAAAATCGTAATCATTTTTAACAGCACAAAATAAGTTTTTCATTTTAACAGTGACCATTGCTGTTAACCGTAGCCAATGTAAGAAGCCACCCCCATTTGCTAGCAGTAGTCGCTGTGAGTGCGTTATAATTCCCAACTGCACATTCGGTAGGTGATGCGTATAAATACGAGCTGCATAGCAAAGTGAGGTGGAAGTGTCTTCTGTGATTGTTCTCTGTGCATTGATCGATATATAGATGCCCATCTGTTTATCAGATCTGCTCAGTGCCGACCCTCCGTCACACTTTGTTTCCCAGTAATTCTGCCTGGCATTGATGTGGCAACACGTTTCGATTGGCTTTCCGCTGCCTTTGCTAACGACGACGGGTCGATTAGCAACAGACGCACGGTCATGCATCAGCACAACCCACCGCCCAACCTCCGCCCCTCTCACGCGTATTTCAACCGCTTCTGGTTGAGGATGCGTGTATAGGTAACGGGTTGGGCGGGGGGCCGCTAATGTTGAAGCCAACAACAGTTGCCCAAGTCAGCCATTTTCAAAATTTCTTGGTTAAGTAACTTTGTAGCTTAGCTTCGGATTTTCGTAATAAATTTGCTGTTCAGAACACTTCCATGTACGCGGCATTGCCGAGCAATTTGCCCATTCTTTTGCTGAAATTTCAAATCAAATAACGATCGAACGGATTTGATGACCACTATTCACTCATAATAGATGTTTATGTACACACACAAGTTATGAAATTGGAAAGGACATATTTTGGTCAATCGACTCGCTTCTTCGAAGGCATACATCCGTATCGTAACGATTTCCTCGGCAGTAATGCGAGCCATATCCAGAATACGGCGACGGATGAATAGTATTGTACGGCAGACAAGATCTGTCCGTACCCATGGCCTTCCACATTTAGAATCCTAGAATCAGTAATTTCCTTGTTGGGTATTTCTTTTTCATTGGATGAACAGCTTTCCTCCTGTTCCATGCGTTCTATATTCATCAGATACTGCTTTAGTTCATAACGTTTTCTAAAATTCATAAGGCATAAAGGTCTAGACAAAGGAGACAGATCTCTTACAACTGGCCAACTTACATCTGACGCTGTTTGAGCTTATTTTCGAGTTTCTCAACTGTGGCGCGCATGTTGGATAGCTCCTCATTCTTCTTTTCCAATTCATGACTGAACGACTCCTTCCTTTTCAAGTGTTCACGTTCCATGTCGCATATCTCATTCATCAGCCTCTCCTTGTCGTGCTTCAGCTGCCGCACGTTACTTTGCTCCTCGACCAGTTGTTGCTTTAAGCAACGTTGCTCACAAAGCGCTTTTCGGAGATCATCATTGCACTGGGCCGCAATTTCTTTCAGCTCCAAATGCTGAAAAGTAAAATTCATTTTTAAGGGAATTTTTTTCTTGATTGAGAAGTCGACTTACCCCTTGTCTGCAGGAGAGCAGCTCTTTCTCCAGATTCTGCTTTTCCGCCCTCAAGTTGATTAGCGCTACGTTTAGTAACTCAAAAGAGGTTTGCACCTGTTTCATGCTCAATGTGGATTTCTTCAGCTCCAATTGAAGCTCCCTGCAGCGTTTCTCCTCGATGCGCATCAATGTGTTAGACACATGCAGCTCATTCTTGGAGTAAATGGACTGCAAAGGCAGCAATCGAAAGATTACATTACAGATCAACTCGACTGCTGATTCTGATCAGGCATATATCATACTATATACTCACGCTCTTTTGGAGGCGTTCCACCACCTGCTGCAGTTTGCGGACATCGGCGCGTCTTTGCCGCCATGCGTGCAACATGACCGAAGTGACGATCCTCATACGAGCAAGCCGTATCATATCCTGGCTAGTGTCCCATGATTCCTGCTGCTGTTCCATCATTTGTTTTTTGGCAGACAGCTTTACCTGGCCATCATCCCTGCTCCACGAGCTGTTACTGTAGGAAAATTTTGATTCATCCTCTGGGCATATATCTACGATATCCATGATATATGTTAAGTTAAAACAAAGTTAAAACTGCAATTTTAAAAGTGGGCTGAAGACAAACCCAATAAAGGAAACCAAGTTGATTATAGTCAGGTAGAAATATAAAAAAATCAAACTGAATTAATGATGAATTTTTATATCTACAGTAAAATTTGTTCGGTAGGTTTGGAAGTTTTATTCATTGAGCACTAAGAAAAAATTGGAAAACGTATCTCGCACATTGCTTCAATCGATTCTTGTGTTATTTAATTGCCTTGCAGTATTTCCCGGAAAAAGTCTTTCTTGCACGTTAACTGGCAAAGTGCACGCACACTTCCCGCAGGTTGCCTCAAGAACCGACAGCAGCTGAAAATTCAGAGTGTGTGAGTCGCCGACTAGGAAATGCACTTCTGTCGAAAGGACAGATTAAAGAAAATGTGTAAAAGTAATATGTGTATAATTTAACCTCTACTTCAGACAAATATAAATAAAGCACATGGAGCATGATAATTTGAAATTAAATTTATGATCAATTTATGATTTATGATCAATTTTGCTGCTCTTGTCTTATTATGCAGTCAGTTGCCACCATTTATAAGTTTGTTGATGATATTGATATTTTATATCTTACAAATTTATTTATTTTATAATTAATATACTATTTAATTTCAAAATTTCTTAGCCTAACCAGACAATCTTTAATTTCTCGCATTTAAATAAATTAGATACTATAATTGCATTTGCAATGAAATACAATTTAATATTTCATATTTCAAACAAAAAATTAGCTCAAGCTTAACTGAATTTAATTAAACTCAGTCGAGTGTAATTAAGGCTTACTTATATACCTATCGCGTTTGCAATCTGTGAGAAGCGCCAGAACTTTTACAAGGTCCTTCACCGCGATTTCACCTTCGCATTGAACGCGTTTACTTTGTATAGTTAGTTACCCTAGTCGAGCTAGCTCAAGGACACTCAAGGCACAGGAAGTTCAAAGAGCTTAAATGGCAAAAACAAAAAAATAAATCAATATGTCGTGTATATAAGGTACAACAGCGTCTGCTTACATGCCACAGCTCGTGTCGGCTTTATAAACACCCTACCCTACTGTGCCTATGAACACCCTACCCAGTTGCAGTCCACACTCGGAAATTTAGTCATACCCATTCGTGAAAAACCTGTTCGCCAGGTAAAGACTGGACAAATATCACGCGACTTGAGCTACAAACCTTTTCCAATTGGCTGTTGACGGTTGGTTATTCGGGCAGCTTGCGGCAGTGGTTTATGTTTGATCGATGTCTGCCCCATGGGAGCTATGGAGGCCAGCAGCTATTAGCCAGGACAACTGTTGTTGCGTTCAGGCAGTCCAAATCATGCCATCAAATCGTTTTCCTTTGAATTTCTATGCCCCAACAACTTCAGTATATTTGTTTTTTTGTTGTGAAATTTCGTTTGACATAATTTCTATTTATTTGCATTTGAGCTCATTGGGAAATTTTGATACTTCAGTTACGATTGCATAGCTCGTATGCCAGCTGTTCATTTTTATTGCTTATATATACATATATATTTATATATGAAGATAAGCTAAACGAATATCAAGAATCTTTGGGAATTGCCAGCATAAATGAAAGATTGTAAGGGGCACTGGAAACTCCTCTAGATCAAGCAGAATTACGAATTAAAATAAAGACTTGAATTCTGATTACAGATTAATTTCTTTTGCTTGCGCATCTTTCACTTTCGTTGCATGAATCAGCATTGAGGCATTTTCACAAGTGATGAGTTCCATGGAAATTCGTTATCCTGAATGTCAAAGTTCGAGCATAAAAGTGAAAGTCAAGCTACGCATGCTGCATGACGCGTGTGAGTCATGTGCTGTGGGGATTAGAGCTATTTGCCATAACAAATAACAAATGCCGGCGCATGATGATATCCTTTTCCAGGAATTGTAGCTTGAATCAGTCGCAGACAAACAAGCGGCTGTTGCCCATGCCACCCATGCCACCCAACCAGCTACTCAGCCAGACCGTATGGCCACAACAAAACGTTTTCATTCATAAAAGCGTGAAAAAGCTTTTCCTCGTGTGTGAGTCACCACCGCGAACAACACTGCAAGAAATTTCCAGTAGTCAGTTTTGCAATCAACGTGAGTCAGAGCTCAACTAAAGGCAACGCAGCTTAGCTTAACCAAGCTTCACTCAGCTGCTAAAGATTGTGACGTTGTCTCCCTCTCTGGGCCTCTCTCGCGCTCTCCTCTCTTGCACTTGCTGCATTACTGTTTTGCTGTCTTTAGCTCAACTGTTTATGATATTTGTGCTTGTCATGTCAAGCGCTCAAGTCAGCTCCACTCAGCTGTTAGCTGAGCTAAAGATTGTCACGTTATGTTTGGCACTCTCTCGCTCTCTCACTCTCTTGCGCTGCTCTTGCAGCTTGTTGTTAACAGCTATGGCTGCGTCACTGCTCACAGTCTTCGGCTCAACTGTGTGTGATCTTTGTTTTTGTGTGTTTTGCCCAATCAAACGAAAAGCTCTTGGCTTGGCGGCACTTTTTTTAATGGCGTCTGCGTGACTTGTTTTGCTGCTCTTCTTGGCTTTTCGGTTTAGTCTTCAATTCGCGGGCGACGTGATCGGTCGATCGTTGTCGTATTGCGCTTTTATAACTTTGCCTAACGCATCTTGCACAACAGCGCGCGCGCAAATGCTTAAAGCTCTCTCTCTCTCCATTTCTCTCTCTGCTGCGTACTTGTGGCGCAGGCAAGTTAAGAAAACCTGTGCATGCCAAGTGTAGACAAATTGTAGATAAAAATTAAATAAAATGAAAACGTAAACGTAAAGAAAAAGGTGCATAAAAATTTATAAAAGTTTCACTAGCCAATTTTTTTCACTTTGCAAAACAGCAAATGGAACAATCCAGCAAAATAATTAATAATAATTATAAGCAACAACAAAAACAAATCAATCTTGTGCAACGGGGCCAAAATACACGTACACTCGATAATGTGGCTAAGAATTTAATGTTTCGCTTTTCGCCGCGATTAGATTACGCCACTCAAAAAATTTGTTGTCAAACGCCGCTCGCCAAAGTTTGTAGAAAAGCTCGATAGACAATAACAGCGCACATATTTTGCATATGCGTGCGTGTGTGTGTGAGTGGATTGTACATCGAATTCAAATTAAGTCCGCCGCCGCGGCCACAATAACAAAAACATTGTTGATGATCGCATAAGTATAAAGCCCGGAATTCCCAAAAAGAAAACGACGTCATTACAAATGCGCGCGCTCTCCCACTCTCTCTGTCTGTCATCTCTTTATCTATCTCTCTTTTGCTTGTGCTCTCTCTCCCTCCCTCTCTCTCTCTGTCTCTCTCTAGTAGCTTGCGCTCTCGCTTTCGACGACAGTTCACCGCAAACTTCGATTTCTTAGCGTTTCATTAGTTTTCAATTTTGTGACTTTATGCTTTGTACTTTTTATACTCGTTCACAAATTTAAAGAAGTATATTGACTTCGTGCAATATTCCTCTGTCAACTACTTAAAATTTGAAATTTTCACTACAATAGTTTTTAGGCTCATCGAATATCTTGAGTCTCTAAAAAAATTAAAAGACTAAGTCACGAGCGAGTATCATGCAGTGCGTTGCAATTTCTACTCGACCTGCTGCTATTCTTCTATTATATCTCTCACACTTTTCATTTTTTCTCACTTTATTATCGCATAGTTCTTCATTTGCCTTGTGTGTCGCATTGACTCGCAGTTTTTCGCGCAAAAAAAAATTTTAATTTATTAAACTGAGAAAAGTTTTTATGTATATTAAAAAGTTATTGAAATAGCAAACCGGTTTCTGTAATGTGTACTTTATTGCTTCGGTCTGTCTGATAGAATAATCGTTAGCAGTACATGGAATATTTTGTAGACTATAAATAAGTTCGCATTACTTGTTTACTCAGTTTCAATTTACATAACAACATTATTTTTCAATTTCTATCGAGTGTCGCAGTGCCTCTAAACGTGTTCTATTCCAGATCTGAAAGTGCGCCCAACTTTTAACTGAAAACTATAAAAGCTATAGAAATCCAACAGAGAAACACTCGATGCATTTTAAGTTTCCCTTGAACACACATTGACTAAGGTGAGTAGTCGAAAAGTATTTGCCATGTCAATAATGCGAAGGGAACTTACTTATATATCTAACTAAAATCAAAATTTTTTGTTGTGAAAACCTCATTTCAATGAGTATTTAGAATGTTAAGTAAAAGTATCTCAGATATTATCAAAAATAAATTAAGTTTGATAAGAAATAACTCATAAGGGGGACTCACTAATCGGTTAAGGGGCGCTCTATCTTTATTTTGCGAGTATAAATAAATAGTTTTTAATCGAAATGAATATTTAAGAAATGGAAATACTTCAGATATATACTAATTAGTATTGTATGTATTAATTATATATTATATAATTATTAATCCTAATCTATGCTTTGATAGAGCACATAGAATTGCAAGCTGATCGCAGACTATAAATTGGCTCAAATACTATACTACTATTATACGACTAAATACATATAAATGTATATGTACATTCATATACATATATCAATGTATACATACATAAATATAAAATTTATATTATAGAAATGCATACATATATAGACACCTTGTCATCGGAAGTGCCTTCAACTTCGTCTGCAACGTGCAATGTGCATAAGTGCTATGACAAGCTCAAACTGCAAATATTCAAATATATGTACACATATACATATATATATATATATATATATAAATAAATATATATATATATATATGTATATATATATAGTACATAAATATGTACATACTTCTCATATCAGTAGTAATATGTTACTCATCTTCTGCAAGTCGATTACAACTATCAAAAATATACATTCATTTCTGATGGTAGCACCAATTCGCTTGCAGTGTATTTACAACCCCCTTGTAAAAGCTTTCACAAGCACTCCCCGTCTCTCTCTCTCTCTCTCTCTCTCTCTCTCTCTCTGTGCCTGTCTTTCTCTCTTTCGCTCTCTTTCTCTCTTGCCTGCTGTATCTTAAGCTGTTGTGTGTGGATTATAGAAACGATAAATGAAAACAGAAAAACTAAAACACCTGTGTACATGGCAGCGCAGTCGCAGTCGCTGCCGCAGTTGCAGTGCAGTCGCAGTCGACGTCGCCTAAAAGTTTTCTGTTTGTGTGTGTTTGTTTGTATATTTGTGTGTGTTTTTGGGGGGTGTGAGGAAAGCTTTGCCACCTGGGTTTCGTAGGCACTTGCATTTGTTTAGGGCGTCAAAAACGGCACGAGAATTTCCAATTGGATTTCATTTGAAGATCGACTCGTTGGCTCTGCGGTTGTGTTTGCACGGAAAAAATAACGGAAATACTAGACAAAATTATACGAGTCGAATAAACTTGTAGTGTGTGCAGAATCAATCGAAATTAAACTTGTCAAACATGCTCAGAGTTCCATTGAATAAACCTTAAGAAATTTTCCCAAAAATAAAAAATATAACGTATAAAAAATGTAAATCATGTCTTAACTTGTACCTGGCTAGCACTAAAGGTAATTACAGGTGTTGTGATGCTTTTGGCTAATTCAACGTAATTTTATATTGCACAAACGGCATGCAAAACCGGCTGCTGACTCAGTACTTAGTGTTAATTGTGCCTCTGTGTAAATGAGTGTTGGTGTGTGTGTTTGTGTGTTTAAGACAAATAACAACAACAAAAACAAATGAAAATAAAAAAGCCACAACAACTGCAAATATAGCAAGTAATGAAGAGTATAGTTATCTCAACTGTGCGATATACAAAGCTCAACTTGTGTCGCTAAAGCTAAGTCAACAAGCGCCATTTCGTGGAACTTTCGCGGGCATTTGATTGATGAAACGATATATGTGGTTCATTATCTAGTATATAGGACCATTACTTTCAATCATCAATCATAGTCATCAAATTGAAGTTGCATTGCTCAAGGTTTGACTTGATTGTTGAGCCTGACAGCGTGACTATTGATAACAACGAAAGTTATATAAGATATATAGATATTATATAAAACTGTCTAAAAGATAGATGTTAATGACTCTTTGAACTATTTCAAATTACGAATTACTGAAAAGAGAATACAAATTCCTGTTCTTGTTATTGCATTGAATCACCACCTAATGTGATTCAATTTTTAGGTCGGATTCAATTATGAATTACAATGAATATTTAGGCCAGAATTTATAGGCTAGATTTTGTAAAATGAGTTGCAGTGCTGCAGTTCTTAAGTTGGAACGAGTTACAATTCATTGTTTCTGTGTAATTGATTTCTTAAGTCGGAACTAGTTCAATACTTTCTAAATTTAGTTATACTAAAATTTTAATTAGCTTCCGAAATAGATTTATTGTTTCTATGTTTAATTTCCTCAGTTGGAAATAGTTCCATTACTGCATTTCATTAAATGACATATTTTCTAAATTTAGTTATGTTTCAATTCTTGAGTCGGAACTAGCTCGACAGATTTTGGTTAACGGCGGCATCAGCTATTTGTTATTTATTTGTATTTATATTTCAGCTGTAAATTGCTTGACGCCAGCGATCATTAAATGTTCTTGTTGTTGTTGTTGTTGCTGTTGTGCTTAGTTTTAGCGACAGTCTCGGCGTCTTTTTGGCGAGCATCTGTGGATTCGGAACTAGTTTAAGCTTGTTTTGAGACCAGCTTGAGGAATTCTGCTAGCTGCTACTTTGGTGTTGATCTTAATCTTAATTTGTAAAGCCTGGCGCCAAAGTTTTTTTTATTTTACTGGAAATAGCAAAAAACTAGAATATTTTAATCTATTGGAGAGATTCCATTGGCCGAACGGTCATAGCTGCCTGATTGGCGCCAGTTAGTTAATTCCTGCTCTACGTCTCCCTCTCTCTCTTCCTCCCACTCTCTCTTTCTCTTTTCTTCTCTTTTATTTTTGTTTGAGTGAGGGTTCCATCATTAATCAATTTTATGGTTTCAAACTTCGTTTTTATACCCTGAATCAATTGAAAATTAATGAAGTGGGTATAATGTGTTTGTTAAAATGTATGTAAAAACTGGAAAGTATATATATTATATATTGCTGAGTCGATCTGCCCATCGCTTCTGTTCGTCTGTCTATCTGTAAAGTCCGAAGACTCTACATGTTTGATTCTGCGCAGGGCCCAGGGTATGTTCTAGTCATGCACGCCCGCCTGAAGCAGTCTTGCTTGTTTTTTGTGAATCAATTCTGTTTGGTTTCTAATTCTACTTCGTTGCTGGAAACTCTCGACGTGTGTTTTTTGTATCATCGATTATTTTATTTGTGTACTACGTCGTTCCGTATCAAGCTATCTGATACGCATTTTTTTGTTCGGCCCATATCTGAAAGGCGGCAATTCGGTAGCTTATCTGCAGCATTTCGTGCGTCCGTTTCGTTTCGTTTTATGGTGCAGATATGTATTTAGTGCAGCCATGAGCAGGAGCTATAAACAGTGCTCTAACAAATAAATTGCCATATAATCGAATGTGCCAGACTCTGCAAAGAATATTAAATACCGAATATAATATCAATAAATTAATAATAAATTGAAGAAAATAAAAAATGAAACCCGTATCAGTGTACCGGGTGCCATTAGTTAGATACCTTGGATCCCACGCTGAGCAGCTGCTGTTAAACATTCCGATCTGATATCTGTATAAGTGTCTATTGGGAGGATTAGGCTACAGTTAGACTTTGGGAGAATTTACATCTTGTCTATATGCCAAAAGTCACTGACACTAGCTCTTAAGATATTCTTAAACAACAAAACTTTGAAATCGATTTTGATCGAGTGCATGGCAGTCAATCTAAAGCTATCAATAGAATCGATATATCGATGTAGAAGGACCTACATATAAAATTTCACCCCTTTAATTCTAATTTAATTGAAATGATTGTTACATATAATAATAGAGTCATTCCACTTACCGATCGAACCAGCTTTTTCGGTTACTGACCTTGCGTCCCAGATAAATATGTATGCAATTCTTAAGAATCACATCCATTAAATGTCATCACACGAATGCCAAAGAAACACGCGTTTTCTGAATGATTCTCCGCAGTGTGGGCCACACGAGCGAATTCCTAGCATTTTTCTCCTTCAAAAATTCACAAACTCAAATATTATATATACCTATACCTATATGCACATATATTATATCAAAACGTAATAATTATCTTAGTGAGATGAGTCACGAATTTCTTGGAAATTCTCTGGCTTCTGTTAAAGACGAAAACATTTCGTACAACAAGTCGTATTTAGTTTATAATTATCACATATTTTATAATGCACATATTTTGGCTAACCAAAGATTCATATAATTATTATCATATATAATAGATTGTTTGGGCAAAAGATTTTCAAATTGTCTTCTATGTTGCTTGATAGAAACGTTGACAAGTGTCTCTCTCAGTGCCCACTGAACGGAAATGCCAATAAATGCCATTACCAGATGCCCAATATATATATAAATATAGATACATGAGTATATATGTATATATACATATATCCATATGTATCTACCTGAATAATCTGTTTATTGTGAACATAAAGTAAAATTTGCATATTGTGCATTTACAAGAATCCGTTCAGATTAACAAATTTCTATCGAAATTTTGCTTTTTTTTATAATTATTGGAGATTATATATATAATGATTTGTTGACACAAGTGCTCGAGAGTTTGTTGACATCGCCAACAGTCAGTCCATTCAGAAGCAGTTTTCCTAGCTAATCTGAAACAATATATTTATAAACTACGACATGCGACATATCGTTCTGTTTTTTATTTGCCTTTCAACAAGGAAATTGGGAGAATTTTTTGTGCACAGCTTACATACAGGCAGAACGATGGATGCCTCAAAATCCATCAGAAAACAGAGAAAATGTTGCATTCGGACAGAACCGACTGCATAATACACGCTCATTAGGTAAGGTCAGAGAAATGATTTCAAAAATATTTTTATTAGTGGTTTATAGATCCATCTAGGCAGCCTATAGAAGAGATCGGCAGTTGTACAAATGTAGTTTCTTGACATTTGCCACAGGACAGAATGAGCATAGTCCCTCTCTGAATACCTTCATGAAATCAACATGATGGTAGATGATATATAAAGTACTTTCTCAGATGAGGATATATTCCCAATTTCATGTATCCTTCTATTTGCTCTATGTTTTCCATACTTCAAGGCTGTGGCCATCTTAAAATCTGAAAGGATTTCTGATCCATAAAACCAATATAGTCGTTTACATTCTACGAATAAGTATAACATATATACAGTTGAACATGCTATATGCTACATTAGGCACACGTACATTTCTTTCTAAAGCTAACAATTTAGGAGACAAATTTGAAAAACAGAAATAGCAGAAAAAGCTTCGACGACAACCAAAAAACAAAATGAACTTTTAGGGAGGAGAATATAGAAAATTGTTCGAATGAAAATTCGCTCGCATTATTCGTTTGCTGTTCAGTCTGTGGCCGATATTCAAGAAATCAAGACGTGCGTTTAATAACAAAAATACAAAAACAGAATCAAAATTATAGTATAACTCTACATATATATCAGAAAATCGTGCTCTATACTATATATACTTTGCTTATTTTTCCGGACCGGTTCGAACCGGTTAAGACTGCAAAACGAAAATCAAATCGAGTGTGGCCTTTAACACAAATAATTGTGAATATTTTGCACAAATCTTGTGCCAAAGGAAAAACTGAGAGAACTTTAAACAATATTTGTATTCAATAACCAATCGCCGGAACAGTTTTGAAATTGGAAAGGAAAATTTTGAGTCAACCACAGTGAAAGGTGATTATAAAGTGCGAAACAGAAAAATTCTTTTCGAAATTCTATAAAAATTCATAAACTGTTCAAAATATTACAAATATTGGCCTTTGGCCAAATTATTATGTTCCACATTTGTCTAATACTCAAATTTATGACGTAATATTTGTAATAATGTGAATCTTGAATGCCATATACTAGCTTTTTATTATATATGAACTATATTCCATAAAATAATGCATATATGTGTGCTCCCATAAAAGCCTAAATGCGAGGCACATTCGCAATGACATGCGAATTGTCTTTGCTTTTGCTTTTACTTTTTCGCTTGCTTTGCTTCGATTTGATTTGCTTTGCTTTTTAATTCACTTTTTCAGTATTATCCAAATTGACTGCGAATTTATAGCCCAAAAGCTTATTTGTATTATGCTAGCTGCCTTCATAAGATTTATGCCCCTAATGTTTTTTCCTTTGCTCGTTCATATAGTGAAAACGGGCATTTTGCCCAACGCCAATGCGCGTTTCTCGATCTATTGAAATTTGAAGTGAACTCTTCGAACTGCATGTATCAATAGATGGACAAACGCTCAAATTGCTTGATTCCTACTTGGAATTGGATCCACATTAGAATCCTAATATGATATATATTAAAGTTATACAGCATTGGGCACTATAGGGGTTGCAAATCGGCCAGAGAAGACAGAGATATGTTGGCCTTCTCTATACATGGAACAATACTTTATATGATATATTTATTTTTATGGAAATATTTAATCGATTTAGCTGATCTTGTAGCTTAGGCGTGTATTATACAGTCGGTTACGTTCGATTGCAGCTGCCTTTGTCAATTTCTTTTGGCAAATAGCTCCCTTTACTATTTATATATATGTAAATAGTTAAAACCTGTATAGTCAAATCTATTTATTAATTTTAAAATTAATAATTTGTCTCTCTAGAGAAAAGCCATAAAGTAATATATTTAAAAAAAAATTGTGACTTACTTAATATATTAAATAAATATATAATATACACAAAAAAAAAAAAAAATATATATATATATATATATATATATATATATATATAATAAATATTTCCCTAAATATGATATAAATATATTTAAAGACTATAAAGAGTTTTTATATGTTTTTATATATATTTTTTAACTACAGTCTTATATTCTTTCAAATTTGACCAAAAAAAGAAAAACATAGAAAACTATGGTTATTTTATTTTTTTTAATTAACTAACTAAAAGTTTACAAAATTGGCAACACTTTCACATTTGGCTTCGTTTGTTTCCTTTCAACATTTACCCCATGCCATGCCGTGCAGACCAATTGACGTATTCTTTTAATGGCAGACCAATGTCTAGACGTTCTGTGAATCGAATCTCTGAGGTCATAGACGACTAATGTCTGTGTATATAGTATATATACTATATATCAATAGTATATTTTTATATAAGCGACAATGAGCGATCTTTAGTCAAGCATTGATCAAACGAGACTTTTTATGTTTTGGAATAAAACAAAATCTTTGGGGAGGCCACTTTGCGAGTCAGTCTTATATATGTTCCGCTGTAAATATATATATTTATCTATACTACCTGCTGGGCACTTGTTCTGCTATATAGATCGAAAGCGCGCTGTGTGGAGCTGCTTGTCGCACACGCATTACGCAAAATGTTATTTTTAAATGGATGTCCGATGCTAACTTGGCTATGGCCTGGCCCAGACCAGCAGCAGCAGCAGCAGCAGCAGCCGGTTCCACACACACACACACACACTAATACCCAAACAGCCAGACACACACACGTGCGGTCAACTGCAGTGGAACAAAATGATCTAACGAGTCGTGTAAATATTTAAATGCAAAGCAATCATATTGCAATGTACACAAACGCCCACGTTTCGTGTTTTTGATGACTCTTTGCTGCTGTCTAGAATGCAAATTTTGTCAGCGGTTTAGATAAATCAAAGAGTTTAAGACTCTGGCATATGCTGTCTGTCTACGGCTATGCTAAGAAAATATAATTCGCAGAAATTGACACACAAAATCATATTGAAAATGTGGTCTATAGATAAATCAAAGAGCTGAACTCGATTTTATATTGTCTCCTTTTATCAACCATATTTATATGATGTCTATTGAAGGGGTCTGCTTTCTTATAGCAGCCAATATTCTCTTTTTTTCTCGGAAATCAACAGAAAAAGAGAAGGACAAATTGTGTTGGGCACTATTATTGGTATGCGTCGTCATTGTCGCCTTTGGCTCAACCGAGGCGTCATCGCGTCTGCCAAGAATTTGGCGTGTTGGCCTAAGCATCTGAAACCCTTTTCGCCTTTCTATTTGCAGTTAATATTTTGGCCTTGAAATGTTTCCAAATCAAAACAATGTGGGCGCTGCGGGTGCAGCAGGCGATGCCCAGCAGCTCAACTACAATGGCCTACAGCAGCAGCAGCAGCAGCAGCAGCAGCAACAGCAGCAGCAGCAACAGCAACAACAGCAGCAACAAACTCAACAATTGTCACAGTCCACGAAGAATGTGCGAAAGAAACCGTATGTGAAGATAACGGAGCAGCCCGCCGGCAAAGCATTGCGTTTTCGCTATGAATGTGAGGGCCGCTCGGCTGGCTCCATACCCGGCGTCAACTCGACGCCCGAGAACAAAACCTATCCAACCATCGAGATTGTCGGCTACAAGGGACGCGCCGTAGTCGTTGTGTCCTGTGTCACCAAGGATACGCCATATCGGTTATTATCAAATTGCAGTTGCAGCTTGAGCTGTTTCTTAACTGTCGCATCCATCTCTGTCCACAGTCCACATCCGCATAATCTGGTAGGCAAGGAGGGCTGCAAGAAGGGCGTCTGCACCCTGGAGATCAGCAGCGAGACGATGCGAGCCGTGTTCAGCAATTTGGGCATTCAGTGTGTCAAGAAGAAGGACATCGAGGCGGCGCTAAAGGCGCGCGAAGAGATTCGCGTGGATCCCTTCAAGAGTAAGCGAACAAGCAACATAAACTGAATTAATACAATACTTAATAAGTGTTCTTTTAGCTGGATTCTCGCATCGCTTTCAGCCATCGAGCATTGATTTGAACTCGGTGCGTTTGTGCTTTCAAGTATTTATGGAGAGCGAGCAGAAGGGACGCTTCACTTCGCCTCTGCCGCCCGTCGTCTCCGAGCCGATCTTCGATAAGAAGGCCATGTCCGATCTAGTTATATGCCGGCTGTGCAGCTGTTCGGCCAGTGTGCTGGGCAACACGCAAATCATATTGCTGTGCGAGAAGGTGGCCAAAGAGGATATCACGGTGCGTTTCTTCGAGGAGAAGAACGGTCAGACGGTGTGGGAGGCTTTAGGTGATTTTCAGCACACGGACGTGCACAAGCAGACTGCCATTACGTTTAAGACGCCGCGATATCATACGCTTGAAATAACGGAACCCGCCAAGGTGAGCCAGCACTCGATTCCCATTTCACTTGCCACAAACTAATTGTTTTTGGTTTGTCTGCCAGGTTTTCATACAGCTGCGTCGACCCTCGGATGGCGTTACCAGCGAGGCTCTACCCTTTGAATACGTGCCATTGGATTCAGGTAGGCATACGTTCTGGAATCTTCATCGGCATCTTAAGAGGAAGCCCGATGAAGACATCTTTCAGCAAATTCTAACGATCGATGCGGTCGATCGATGCTCGGCCAAGCGCGAGACCCCCACGATTGAGGTAATTGATCTAAATACGCCCACCTTGGAGCAGCCAGAACCTCAGCTGCAGCAGGTAGCAGTGGCGGTGGCGGTGGCGGAGGCAGAGGCGGCAGCGGCAGCGGCAGCCGAGGATCTCACAGATCAGACACCATTAGACATGGAGGCAGCAGATGCTGAAGCTGAGGCGGAGCGACTGCGCACTGAATTGGAAATCGATACGATCATTGATGAAAAGGTGCGCGAATTGGAGCAGCTGGAGCTGGAGCAGCAACTGGAGCAGCAGTTGGCAGCGCCAGAGCCGCATCAACTAACGGCCAACGACAAATGCAACGAGTGGATGAAGTCCAATGAGCTGCTACAACAGCCTCACGAGCCGAGTCCAGATCCAGTTGATGGCGAAGTCGAGGCCGACGACAGCGATGCCACAGCCGAAACTCAGGTGGCCGCCACGGATGAGGACAAGACGCTCAACGAGCTGCTCGAACAGGTGGCCGAGTTGGATGAGATCTACACAGACTTCGTAATGCAGCGGGACACTTACAATAATACACTGCAGAACGAGCTGCAGAGCATGGACAGGCCGCCTTTGCAGGTGGAGGATAGCTTCGATGATGCAGCCACCTATACAAGTCTGCAGATCGCCTTCAAGAATCCAGTAATCATACCCATGGATGATATCATGCCCCCGACACCACCCATGTCGCAGTGCGCGCCAGAAGATGCGCAGCACTACGATGCAGTAGAGGTGAACTCACAGCAACAACAGCAGCAGCAGCAGCAGCAGCAGCAACATCAGCAACAGCAACAACAGTTGCAACACCAGCAAGAGTTACTTAAAGAGTACGAGATGGAAAAACGTGCACAGGAGCAGCTTGAGCTGGAGGCAGCTCTGATGCTTGCAGCTGCTGAGGAGGAGAAGTTGCCGCCGCTGCCGCCCAAACGTCTGCGCAAACAGGACAGCAATGCTGAGAATCGCTCGATCGATGCGAACAGCGATGCGGCGTCCCCAGCTAAGGATAAGCCACGCCTGCCGCCTCCAATCATACACCCACGCGTCGTCGATTTGCCCGCAGCGCCTACAAAGAAGCTGCCACAACCACCGGAGACAAAGCCCAAGCTCAAGCCGAAGCCCACAAAGAATCCGAATTTCAATACGCTGCCCAGACAAAAGAAGCCTGGCTTCTTCTCCAAGCTGTTCGCGAGGCGTAAGAGCAAGCCGGAGCTAATGGATCGCAGCAATGAGAATTGTTCGAGACTCGGCTCGAAGCCGGCCAGTGCCACAGCCAGCAGTGAGCCCAGCTTGGATAATCTGAATACTCGAACGGCCAAAAGCAGAGCAACCAATGTGGTGCTGGGTCCATTGAAGTCGGATGGCACTGGTGCCACGGCCACACCTCGGAAAACTGGCAAATCTGGCAAGCCCTGCGGCCGCAGCGTGAGCAGTGTCTCAGGCAAGCGACCCTCGTATCTGAACGCAGATGTGGTGCATATTCCACTGAAAGGCGACAGCTCCAGCAGCTTGCAACAGTCGCCCAATGAGGCCTACTCGAGTGCCAGCACAATAACAGTAGGTGGCCAGCTGGACAGACGCACTGCGTCCGCATTGCAGCTGGCCGAGATACCCATCAGCGAGGGCGGCATGGAGCTGGTGGCCATTGCCGATCGCCAGAGCTTGCACAACTTAGTCAGCTCGATCGAGGCGCACTTCAACGTGAAAATGGACCCCAATTTGGATCTCACGGAAGTCGAACATTTTGCTCTATACACGAGTGTGCCACCCCAAGCGACGGTCAGTGAATTCGACGAGACGTCCGCCTACTATGCATCTGTGGATGCTGGCGAGATTCTAACACCTGACCAGGTGGCCAAGCGACTGGCGGCAGCAAACGGCAATTGAATGCTGCAAACTCACTTGCAGCTCTACGAACAACAACAATCGACTAAACAATTTAGCTGGTCAGCTGAGGAAAGGGATGCTATATCCAATCCGACCTGGCCAATTTGTATGATTAGATAAGCAAAGGATCTCTTTGCCATTGCAATCGTCGATTGCATATTGTAATATGTATTTTTTTAGCCCTACGAACAAACTTCGCATCGACTAAAACAGTTTGTATTGAACGGATTCCATAGCGAATTCCTCTACCCTTAATCATCGACTAAAACAATTTGTGTGGTTAGCTAAGAAAAGGACTTGAAGTCCTTAAACCAGTTTACACTTGGCAAAGAGCGCTACGTGAACCAAGCGTTCAAGCGTTCGCCTAAAATTTGTAATTGTATTTGTTTTAGAACCTGTTGACACGCAGCCTGTATACCCTGTATTAGATGGGTATGCCAATTTTGTAAGCGTTTGTCAACGGAACTTGATTTGTGCAGCAGCTCGAACTTTTCGCTGCTCAATTTTGTCTTGAGGGTGCGCTGAGTCGTCGCACCCAAATTTTGTATTTAATAGATCTAAGGGTTCCTTGAACCGAGTCAAGACTTGTCCAGCTTGTTGGCAATTAAACGAATTGCTATACTCTCTTTTTTATAGATCCAGCACACTTGAGGCGGAAACGTCAAAAGACTGGCGGCGATCCCATGCACCTGTTGCTACAGCAACAGCAAAAGCAGCAGCATCACAATGATCATCAAGATCGTAAGTTTTCCCATTTTCACAATTTTCTCTTGGTGGTGGGTGGTTGGTCTTTCGTCCTCTCTGTCTCTCTCTCTCACTCGCCTTCTTCTGTCCATTGTGATCACGCGCTACTGTTTCTCTTTTGTGTGTGTGCGTGTGTTGGATCTATCAACTGCGTAGGCAGAGTTGCCCTGAAGATATCCAACTAGTCCATAGACAACTTATCGTACCCATAATGTTTCGTATACCAAAGACTTGGCAAGTTCTATGATGTATTAATCGTATAGACTATTAGAAAATATTAATATTAAACCAGGAAATCTAATCGAAAACCAAACAATGCACAAATATTAAAAACTATGCAAAAACTAAATACAAATTATACTTAAATAAATACGTAGCATAAATATATATGTAGCCATAAATATTGTTGTTGGAATTTTATGCAAAAGAAAAGAATAAAAAATAATTATTATTGCTTTGCTAATCGGGCAGAAAATACGAAAAGAAAAATTAAACAAAAATTTGATATTTTTATACAAAAACAAAAAAAATTATCGAAAATACAAATATTCTTGCAAAACACTTTTATAAAATATTTAGATTAATAAAAAATAAAAATAATGAGAAATACAAACTTTATAGTTTTAACTTTACTGAGCTTTTGAAAAAAGATTAAATGAAGTAAGTTTTTAATAAGCCAAATTTTGCATGAGTTTTGTGTTTTGTTAAATAATAAATAATTTTTTTAATATTTAATATTTTTTATATTTTATAAATAGTTTTTTATGATTGTTACATTTTTATTTAATTTGTTTAATTCGATAGAATTTTTATATTTACTTTTTAATATGAAGAATTGAATAATTTTATTTTTGCACGATTTTTAAACTTTTCACAAATTAAATTCAGCTAAGCTTTTTCTTAATATTGTTGATTTTGGCTTGCTTCTGCTCCACTAGTTGCCTTTGTTTGTTTCATTGTTTGCTAACAATTTTGTGCACTGCTTCTAGGTCAAAACAACATGAACTGTTGGAATGCACAGAATATTCCGCCTATCAAAACCGAACCAAGAGGTGAGTCAATATATGAATATTATATGTATATTTGTGTATTCATAATTTGTTTATATACTCAGATACCTCACCACAGCCGTTTGGCTTATATCGTGCTCCGCCGGAATTGACGCCTTCGCCGCAGCCATTGTCCCCGTCAAGCAATTACAATCAGAACAGCACTCCGTCGCCCTACAACATGGCAGCATCATCAGCGCCCAACAATGCACAGCAGCAGCAGCAACAGCAGTTGATGTCGCCCAATCATCATCAGCAGCAGCAGCAACAACAGCAACAGCAACAGCAGCAGCAACAGCAGCAGCAGCAGCAGCAGCAATATGTTACTGGCGGCGCTGGCACCCTAGAGCTGGGAAACAATTACAACCCATTCACGCAACAGCTATTGGCGCAGCATCAGCAGCAGCAGCAGCACCAGCAACAGCAGCAACATCAACAGCAACTGCAATATAACACGAATGCAAATCCCTTTGTAACCGCTGGCAGTGCAACGCATTGGGAGAGCAAATTCTCAGCCGTTGCTGTTGCTGCTGCTGCCGCTGTGAATGCAGCGCCAACTGTTGCCAATAGCAACAACAACAACAATCTAAGTAATCTCAACAATCCATTCACAATGCACAATTTGCTGACTTCGGGCGCGGGCGCTGCTAGCAATCTGCAATGGAATCTGACCACGAATCATTTGGTAGGTATAGAAACAAGGCAACAGTTTGAATAACTCTCTTGAATGACGCTTCTGATAAATGCTTACAGCAAAATCAACATACTCTGCAGCAACATCAGCAACAGCAGCAACAGCAGCAGCAGCAACAGTTGCAGCAGCATATAACACCAATGCATCAGCAATACGACAACACAAACACCAACAACAACGATAACAGCAACAATGCAAACAATGAGAACGGTCCAACGATTAGTAATCTGTTGAGCTTCGACAGCGAGCAGCTGGTGCGCATCAACTCGGAGGATCAGCAAATGTTGCGCCTCAATTCAGAAGATCTGCAAATATCAAATCTATCCATATCTACGTAATATTATTAACTAAACTCTGTTGTTTTAAGCCTTAAGTCCTGTGTGTTTCATACAAATTGTAAAATGCGTGTTTTTAGTATAATTTTTTGAATACGAATGAATTAAACGTTTTAGAAGTTAAAGATTACAATTGTATACTGGTTTTGTGTAATGTTCGCCTAGCTTTCTAGTTCTCCATTGCAGCTAGAGACTTGAAATTTGGAATACTCGCAGAAGTCTTCATTGAGAGCTAAATTCTTCCCTCTACACTTACTACGGGCGTGGCTAATTGGCAAATACCAGAAGCCATAAACTGTTTGGTCCTCTACAGATCGACTTTTATGGACTCCATATGCATGTCCACTGGAGGCATGGTAAATCGGGACTGACTATATAACTGCATTCAACGATATATATATATATATATAAATAAGATTTCATCCACCATTCACTTTGTAAATAAAAGAAATTCGTTAAATGTTTTACTTGAATTCCGCTACTAAATAAAAAATTAAATTTAAAAGAACATTAAAAAGTGAACATTAATTATCAAGGTGAAAACGAGTATGGCTACTAAAATTTCAATCAAGCGATAAATATACTCATCGACTACAGATGTAATATTATTTTTTGTCTTCTAGGTCTGCGTTGACTTCATGTGGCTCGTTCGAACCACCGGACAAGAGGCAACGCAGCTTTTTGACGGCACTTGGTATGGAACCCATGGGTAGAGCAGGCGGAGGCGTGCCAGGTAGCATGCAACAGGCGACGAGGTGCATCAGTCGAAAGGTGGCATGTTGGTAGGGTTGGCTCTGCGAGAAACACTGGCGAATGCGCTGACCCACCGTGGCGGCGAGACAGTTTTGCAGCGTCTGCACCTGCTCCTCCTTCTCTTTAATATCTCTCTCGAGGTCCTCAGCGTGCTTCATCAATTTGCTAGAAATCGAACAAAGAATTATTATACGATACTGCTTCAGAACACAAGCTCACCTGATATGCAGCTCAGTTTCGCACTTGTACTCCACCAGGCTCGTGTTGCACAGCTTCAGCTGCTCTGCAATAAGAGCAATATCATCGCGCAGCTTGTCCACATATTCCTGCTTTTCGGCTAGCTCGAGTCGCAGCGATTGCAGCTGGCTGGTCAGCTCCTCGATATCGAACTTGGCACTCTGGCATTCGAGTTGAACGCGTGCCAGCTGCTCCAGTTGCTCCCGTTGCAGCGTATTGGCCACAAAGAGTTCCTTTTTGGTTGACTGTAGCAGCTCTTGCAGATTCTCGATTTCCTGTGCCTTGAACGCGTTGTCCTTGGCCAACTGTTGCTTCTCCTCATTGGTTTGGCTGAGCAGTATTGTCAGCTCGTTGTAGGACAACTTTGTCTTGGCACTGTCCATATAGGACTGCCTTAGCTGATCGTTCAGGGTCTCATTGCGACGCTTCTCTACAGCGAACAGCGTGTTGTACACATGCAGCTGATTGCGGTTCTTCACAAACTACAAGAAGGGAGTATGCTGACTGACAAGGAAGACTGCATTAGTCGGAAGTCCCTGACTTGGAGATACTCGTAACCCAAAGCAGAGCCTTCCATGATTTCGAAGGGGGACGGAAGTATTCATTCAGATGGACGCGCGGACGGACGGACATTAGGTCGAGCAAGTCTTCGCTTATCAAACTTACATTGCGCTTGAAGTCCTCGACCTGTTCGCTCAGATGACGGACTTCCTGTCGCCTGCGCCGCCAGGAGCGCAACATGATGGTATTGAAGATGCGCAGACTAGCAATGCGCAGGTCCTGATCGCCGTTGACCACAAATCGTGTGTTGCACAGCTGCGACGTGCCCTGAAGCAGCAGTTGGGTCAGGTCGTCATTCTTTATGGTCATCTGACCCGCCTGCTGGTCGGGCCGGGTCGACACAAGTGCATTGGAGGTGGGCACATGTGCAACCAGTTGATAGTTGCCCGTACGCCGTGCCTCCTTGAAATCCATTTGGGATACGGACTTGCGTGCCCGATAGTTCAACATGGCTGCCGTTTGTTGACGCTTCAGCGTCAGATATGGAGGCAGTGTAACGGGCAGTGTTTCCGACTCCTTTACCTCCGGCTTTTTCTTCTCCTCCTTCAGCTGTTCTGCCTTCGGTTGCACCTTGTATATAGGCACTCCCGACCTGGACAAACTGGTGCTCAGTGAGTTGTCCGACGAAGAAGGTGTCAGCATTATAGCCCTGGGTAACTTCAACAGCTCCACATTGTCCTTGCCTTCCATGCTGCAAAATAGCCAAATGCATGTAGAACAAAGCCGTTTTTCTTTTATGAACGACTATAGAGAAGGCCCGTACGCACCTCTGTAGCTTCTTCTTGTAGCCCTGGCTGCGACGTTTCTTTATTTGGGCTCCAATCAGCGCCTTGTTGTAGGGCGCCCTGGGAGAACCCTTCCTGGAACTGGGCGACTCATCGGTCCGCCTGGCGAGCAGCTCGTTTCTCCGTATACGCGGACTCTTGGGCAACATTATGGATGTCTCGCTCTTCGTCTGCTCTTCAAATTTTTTGTCTTTTCTTCACAACTAAATTAAAAGTTTTTCAAAAATAAAACACAAAATCAAGTCAATACCGTTGCTGTTTTCTTTTTTTTTTTGTAACTGCGTTCACATTGTTCGGGAATATAAAACTAAAGTCTCATCAGATAATATTTCCCTAGAAAGAGTATACGTCAAGGCTTACTAAGCCAAATTTCACTATATTTTATATTTATTTTTAAATTAAAATTTATTAAGAATAATTGAGAGATGAACATGGAACGTGGTAACCCTGACCGGGTTACCTCTTAATGTCTTCTACATCAATATTAAAAAGTATATGTAAAATATTAAGAAGTATATGTAAATACGAAAAACACTTGAGCCCCTTGCTCAAATTTAATAAAGTATTGTTACTCAGTCGGAGTGCAGCATAGATCGATGTATTTCACTTATCTAAGTGCAGTACAGAATGCGTTTCTCTGATGGGTTCAGCAATGCTTTCTTCTGGCTTTTGTAAACAAAATCATTATGCCCTAGACAAATAGACAGCCAGAGGAAGAGAGCTACGCTGATTAGGCTTATGATTCTAATCAATAATTGTTGAGTTCAGCGACGCTTCCGACTCTTCCCATTCCTCGTTCACTCATTTTCAGTTCAGTTCAGCGTCTAACTGAACAGTTCCAACAATAAATGCTTATAAATAAATACTCAACAAATACTCCACTTTACCGTTCAATAGATAGGTTTGGGCATTAGGACACACAGTCTTGTCTACTTTCAGCTAAACTCTTAGCCATCAACTGTCACCGCCTGCTACCCTAGCCCATTCTCACATAATACAAATGTCCAGCAGTTCCTTTGCCACATGTTGACTGAATTTCATGCAGCATCCGGCCATTGATTGCGGCTCATTTGGCAGTTGTGGCCAGAAGTGGTTAATGGAACCGTTATTATCTTTTATGTTTTATCCCTTATCCTTGCTGTTACTCATTTTCAGCAACGGGTTTCCCATTCAAAAACGCATTTTGACCCCAGTGGAGCTTTCTTTCAGCAATTTCACCACGGCGTTTGCGCAGATTGAAAAAGCTTTTTGGGGAAAACTTTTGAAATCTTTTTTGTTCGGGCGGCTGTTGGCGGTTCCATTCACGTCGCGGCGCTGCTGGCAAACGGTTCAATTGGCACGGCAAAAACGAGTCAGAACACAAAATATCGACAGGTGCGAAATTGAACGTAACGAATAAAAGTTTCGAAAAATTTGAAATGCACTTGAAATTTCGAAAATAATAATAAAGTAAACCCATAAAATATCAAAACGTGCATTTATTCTACTTAGTGTGTGTGAGTGTGTGGTGTGTGTGGCGTGTGTTGAAACGAACATTTCCGTAGAGAAAACATAATTTAAGTAAATATTGAAATCCATTCGGGGTAAGTTTTGAGCACTATAAATAATTTGTCTGCCTCAAGATGTGTGATTTATGTGCTTTGTATTACAAAATCAGTTTATAAATGATTATCCCATTAAAATATTCATTTGGTCGATGTTTATCAATGAAATGGGTTTCTCCCGAACTCAATATCAAATCAAATTCTACCTAGTCTAATCATATATGCTACAGCTACAGGTTGATTGCGTCTGGGGAAAAAGTAATTAAGCGCAAAATTGGAGGGACGTCATCTTGAGATTGAACAGGTTTTACGTCATCTTAGCTTTAGCATTTTATATATGAAATAAATTATATAATTTTTGCTAAATTAATGACGAGTCTGTTGCGGGTCAAGAGTTCTTGGAATATGAGCTAACATTTTCAAGCGAAAGCAACTGTAATCTGACTCCTGTAATTGAAACACAGCAGGTATTAAGAATATTGATTGTCACAAGATACAAGTCAAAGGAATTTTGATTTTATGTAATGCTAAATTAGACTACAACGGAAGTAATCATCATCTTTTTTGAAGCGTTTTGATACAAAGTATCGATTTCCATTCACTGCTTTTTCACGGTTTCAGAAATTTTCAAAATATTCGCTTGATTCTGAAAGTTTGAAATTTCTTGAATTTTTCTTGATTCTAAGGCATTTTGAGGCCGATTTTAGATTGCGTTATCATTTATTATTTTATAAACAAACCATAAAAGAAAGAGAATAAAAAGAAAATTAATAAAATAATAATAAAATTACAAAATTAATAAATAATAAGTAGAAATTTAATTCATATTAACTCAATTATTATAAAATAAAAAAATTAAATTAAAAATAAAATTCATACTAATTAAAAAAGCTAAATTAACTATTAGAAAGAACGTTTGTAGTCAGTTTCAGTTGAAAATGCATACTAAATTATATTACTAACTTTATAAATATATAAAAAATATAAATATATATAGCTTAAGCAGATCTAAGTCGAAAGCCTTACAAATCGTTCGATATAAAATGAAAATAGGAATTGCAATTGTCATGCTGGAATGCTGCAACTTAACCTTTGTACGTATCCAGTTTTATAGTGCAGTCAGCAGCAGCCTTTGCCTTTGCTCCGCTCTCCATCTCTCCACACCCACGGCCCTCTGCCAAGCTGTGCAGCTGGCGATGGCACTCACAAATCGCTGGCGCATTAATTAATTAATAGTCAGCAATATTCGTATACGAGGCGAGTCTCTAATACACATACATATGCGCTTGAGGCTATGTATGTGTGCCTATAAAGACAAGTCGTTGCGGTTGCTATTGTTGATAGTTGTTGTTGTTGTTGATTTGCTGTTTCAACAAGCGTTCGTTGGCAAAAACAATATACAAATTTACTTGGACTACGTTTGATGTGTCTCTCTGTTTGTCTTACCTTTAGCTGATGTTGTTGTTGTTGTTGGTTTTCTAATAAATTGTGAAATTTTATATTGAATACACATCGATCCAGATCCGGACAACCTTGATGGCGGTAATACGGTCGCCGCAACTCCCATTGCATGCGGAACACTCACACTCACACACAGACAGACGGGGACAGCCACACGTTCCAGCTGCCCCATAGAAAAAGCGAGCGCAGCCAGTTGCAGTGTTGCCTTTCCAGTTGTGTCGATTGTGATGTAACCACTGTCGGTTAGTTAATACGAAAAAGAAGAAGAAGCAGAAAAGTGACTGGATGACTGGAAAATTATGCACAACTGGAAAGGCCACGCAACGATCGAGCTGAACTGGAAGCATCGTTGGTTTCCGCATGGGCGCACTCAGTCGCTCGTTCGCTCGTTCGCTCTCTCTGTCTCTGTCTCTGTCTCCCTTTCTTACTCTCTCACTCACTAATTCATTCTCACTCTTCGTCTCGATTATCTGTGAGCTACTTGTGGAGCAATTGCGGCTCTTGCTGATGATTCATACACAATTCGGGGAATCCGAAACCGAACCCAATCAAGTGCTGTAAGCCAAAGCCAAAGCAACGTCAAAGCAGCAGGTTTTGCTTTTTTCCTTCTATCTATTCAGACTTTAATATGCCTAGTCAAAAAGCTTGTTTTATCGCTCGTTGATTGTTGAAAAGCAAGTTTTTTTATCTTATAGTTTGGGTAATATGAGTTTTTCAAGAGCTGGGAGTAAGGTTCAACTGACTTTAAGTTCGCTCCAATAACTCCAGTTGTTCAACTGCCAGCATAAATTATTTCTAATATATTTGTTCCTTTCAATGTTCCTCAATGTGCCAAATAGAGTATCCATTAGTCGGCTAAGTCTTACTTAATTGCTTATCGTCGTCAGCTGTCCCAAGATTGAGTTCATTTTCATTTGTAATTTGCTCATCTTGTGTTTTTTTCTATAGGTTATCGATACACTCTCGCTCTCTCTCTCTTGCCCTCTTCCTCCCCATTCCCCCCCCCCCCCATCCCTTTCTCTTTCTCTATCTGCTCTGTTTTGTGAGTGTCTTGAATTTTAATGGTTTGTCTTGAGGGCGTCGACTGCGACCTTTTGCTTGGCTCTTTTATGTGGCCTGCATATGGCTGTTTGCTTGTGTGAGTGAGTATTGGCCATAAACAATGGCCTTTACTTTGCTTCGCTTCGATTGCTACTACTTTTTACTCGGCCCCTTCGTATGACGTCTCACGTCTGTCTTTCGACCCCGCCCCACCACACGCAGCTTGTCGGGCTTTTGTTAGCGACTCTTAACTGTGTGTGACCTTGGACTGGCACATGTGCCAGAATTGCAGATAAATGCGTTGGAGGTGGAGTTTACGTGTTTTTGTTGATTTCTCCGATTGCCCTGTTAGAGAGTATATCGATTCTATCATTGAACATATTGAATGATACCTAAGTATAGATAGGTATACTTATGGTATACGGCCTATACATAAACATAATGTATATAGGTGGAATATGAACCCTAGGAACATAAGAAAAACACGTGATCTATGCTCATGCCATCCGCCGTGGGGGACCATGGCAACAGTCAAAAGTTATTTTTAGAGGAAAAGGAATGTTTATTTTTCAATCTCCCTAGTAGATATCAATTTTAAATGATATACTTAGCTAGTAATCTGATCTCTGATTTAAGTATAGCCATCTTTATATATTACTGTCGGAAAACTAAATTAGATACGATTCGATATCAATTTAACTATTGCAAGAGCCATTGAATAGCTAATCATATTTATCATAAGAAAGTCCTCTTGTTGAGTGCATCAAATATTCATAGAATATAATATTTTTAATTAAGAACAGCAGCGAAACATACTGAAAAGTGAGAAAAGTCTTATAGCTATATGCAAATCTAAGAAATATTTATTTAAAGACAAAGTGTTACCGCCAAGCAAATAGATAATTGTCAACAAATAAATTGGAGTTGGCCAATATGAGTTTCATTTATGTTTTCTGATATCCAAAATGATAATTAGTAATTTCTTAATTTTCTTAATCTAGTTTAAATTAAATAGAAGTGAAGCAAATAAAGGGTATTCACGTTTCGACACTCATAGTTTGTTTACCATTTCTAGCTGTGCTTCGACTACCTGACTGTTTGCTGAAGAGAAAAATAAAAACAAAAAACAAGTTTCTTTTGGCCAAAACGCTTTTTAGGCGTTTGCGCGTGTCTCTCGTGACGTCACAAAATGCAATCGAGCCATTTGTTTAGATGCTGTAGATCTTCAAATATGTATGTTGCTCTTTCTACATCTCAGCATTCAAGTTGCAATCAAAATTGATTTGTTGCTATTTTTGCCACGATCTTGCCTTTTGTTTTACGTAATTTGCGGGCAAATTTTCCAGTCGTGCATTTCGGCCAAAGCACCGAAAATGTTTTGCATTTGTTGCCCACGCCGCGTATACTTGATGTTGTTTAAACTTTGCTTCTAGTTGCCACACATAAACAGAAGAAAATAAATCGTGGAACTATACGTAGACCCCGTATGTACATGCACACAATTCTCTGCACCATTTGCAACAAATTTGAAAAGAAATAACAACATTTTTTTGTTTCTATTTCGCATTTTGTGTTCAGTTTTTGGCATATTTCGCTATTTGCTTAAATGACTGAAAATCAACGTTGATGGAAAGGCAAACAAAATTAAGTCAATAGCTGCCACTGCTCAGAGACATGACCTTAGCTGTTGTGTCTGCTTTTAGCCACACATATATATATAAATATGGAATTTTTCGTGTTTGAATTAGCATTCAGCTTATAGATTTTATAATTTACGTTTCGCTGTGGGTCACACACAAAATTTCCTGGAAACCAGATCATAATAGAGCTGACAATAGCATATATGTATGTGGCTAGCAATTTGTGTGCTTGAAAAGCTGGTTTGGCGCCGACCAGGGGAAATACTTGAAATCAAGCAAATACAATGTTAACTTAGTTAAATCTGTGGCAAGTGTTAATTTGCAATGCACTTTTGAGTGGGGAATTGTGTAGTCACTGGTTGCACTATATTTTGTATACAAACATTGAGTCTAAATAAAATTTGTAGCCAACATCTGCATGCATTTATATGTACATTCAAATATAGCTATTAAAGTGTCGACACCTATGCACAGGCACTTATAAATCTCGAAGCCGCTTGTAACGTCATTAATTACTAAAAAAGAGAGGAGAGCGCCCGTTTCCAATATCAAATAAACAAAGATATAAAGAACAAGAGCAAAGTGTTGCCAAAGAATGTGGCTGGCATGTGCGGCAGGGCAAATGGTAAAAATGAAAACAAAAGTTTACGTATTTACGTATGAAATAGCCGCCGATCGATCATGGCGAGCCGAGCAGCGACGGCGCGACGATAGCGCCATCAACAAGTATACGATATGACGCATACGACAAGTCGACGAGTAACAAACGATAAACACGAACGATTACAAGCAATTAGATAAAACGAGACAACGATTCAAGCCGAGTACGATACCGATTGCACGTTTATATGTGTGTGCGTACGACATTAAGAATACGATAAGTAAAAGAACAAAAGACGCAGGAACAATTGTTCGATTAGCCGAGCACTCTAACCAAGGTAACTGTTTAAGCCGAGCGCGAGAGTAAGTGCAAGATTTTGTATGTGTGTGTGTGTGTGTAGAATAGCAAGAATACAATAGAAGAGCGGCAGGCGCTGCAAGCAGGCAAACGGCGAACCGGTCAATTCGAGTTTGTATGTGTGTAAGCGATACCAAGAATACGACAAATTATTACTTGTACAAGCAATCAGCCGAACATACGAAACGAGCATACATGTGTGAGAGTGTGTGTATGTGTGAGTATGCAGATAAGTAGACGAGCTGCAGACGCTGGCGCAGGCACATGCGCTCGTGACTAGCCGTAAACACATTCGAGCATACAAACCGAGCCGAATTGTTCAAGCCGAGCGCAAGAGCGAGTGAGAGTGTTAGTGCGAGAGAGAGTGCCTGTGTGAGTCGATCTGTAAAGCGTTGGTAAAACTCAGCGTTTAGTTTGAAACGGAAGTTTGACGGCGCGAGATGTTATTTGCAGTTGAACTGAATTTTGATTTCATTTTATAGATCGTCGAAATCGTCGTCGCATATTGTGCAAGTCACACGCAAGCGTTTGAATGTTTAGATTTGTTAATTATACGCGACACGACAGCCAGACAACTTTTATAAAATAACAATCAACTCATATATAGTCGCGATATATATTTACACATTTGTGTGCGTGTATAACTGCAGTGCAAAAAAAAAAAAAAAAAACAAAAATTATAATAACTTAAGCCAATTATATACCGTCGTGTTCTATAATTTATTCGCTTTGTATCGGCGTTTCATATAAAAACAGGGAAAAAAGTTTGGCGCGGTTTTATTTTTTGGCCTTTGGGCGTGATTAAGTAACTGCTATCTGATTAAATCTTTATATGTATATGTATACAGCGCGAAATGCACTCAGCTGCTAGCTTAAAAGTCAATCACAAATAATAAATACAAATTTATAATCAAGTTTTAAACATATACAAAAACAAAACAGAAAAACAACTACAACTAGAATCTGTTAGGGTTGGCAGTTATAAATTAAATAAACAAATCTAACGCGCAGTTTGTGCCCCACACTTAGGTTCGCCTTTGAAATATACTATAAACGTAGTTTATATATTCTATATGCCTAGTATACTATATGTGACAAGCAACCTCCACATTTCATCTATTTCGTTGCATTCGCTATAAAAAGAAACTGATAAGTGTTTTAATACTTTGCCTGTTGCTATTATCATCATTATCGTTATTTAATAATACAAATAATATTAATATATATAAGAAAATAACTAATATTTTTAATGAAACTAAAAATATTTAAAAAATCAAAACATTGAATTTATATTTTATTTTTATTTATATTTGATAAAAACGAAGCTTATAATCTTTGAGTTGAAGTGAAAAATAGTTTTAAAAACTTGTGAATGTATTTAAGTATGTATATATATATATATATTTGAAATTAAAGCTCTTAGAATAGCATAAAATACACACACATATATATATATATATATATATATATATATATATATATATATATATATATATATATATATATATATATATATATATATGTGTGTGTATTTTATGCTATTCTAAGAGCTTTAATTTCAAATTTTAGCTAAAATGCACATTTCTATATGCAGACATCATATATAAACATATACACCTGATAAGCCTATTCGATAACCTTGCCTGCAAGTTCAAGCTTTCATTAGATAACATTAGCTGGCAGTCAGCCTTATCAATCAGTTCGAGCAACAGTTTTTCGTGAACTTGATAAGATGTAATTCCAAGAAATCGAACATTTTTTAACTTTAGAAAAACACATTTTATTTTTTGATTGTTTTTTGAAAAATACATGAAATTCTCGCTATGTTCTCAGCAGAGTATTACATGTAAACAACAAACTAAAAGATTCTTCAAGAGTTTCGATACATTTATGTTTATATGTATATCTTTTTTCCAGTGTAGCAACTGTACAAAGTCATATCATATATCTAAATAGCATGAGTATAATTTATTCAAGCCTCATGAAAGCAACTGCCATTATATTTATCAAAGTTTTTATTGTGCATTTAATGAGCTTTGGGTTGGGGTTTTGTTTAGTTTTGTTTCTCGCGCTCTATGGCAATTGGCATCGTTTTTGTAATTATGGTATTTTAGCGAACAATATTTGCATGTGTAGATATGTAGTCATATGGGGACCTAAGGGATAAGTCGACTGCTTTTCTAAGAAATATATACATCAAATGTCATCTGTGACTGGGAAACGTAGGTGAACTCACTTTATGTACAGCATAATCTATGCATATTCGAATTGCTTAAGACTTTGTCTATATATGCGCCTTATATATATATATATATATATCGATCGATACATTTTCAAGGCTGAAGCAAATATTTATATAAACAGTTTGTAAATATTTTTACAAGTGAGAGAAAAAAGTTTATAAAAATTCGCGCTGGCATCTGGAATATTTCGTTTAAATATTTCATTTGCAATCAAAGCGATTCAAGTAAAACACACGCAATGGAAATTGGAGGTTGTTGGGGCTCTGTTTGCTGCCTGGTAAAAGAATACTTGCTAGCGTTTCCAATAAGGTCTTTAAGGCTTTGGCCATGGCTAACTGGCTCGCTTCCATACACACGTTTATACATTTATAGACAGAAATAGCTCGGCGGACAGTCATGGTCAAAGCAACTCGAATATCGATTTATCTCCCTGCTCCCCACTACATAGTAGAACACCGGATCTAGCTCCTAGTGAACTCTTGCATTGTTTTTTAGCAATTGACGAAAGCAAACAAATAGAAACGCACGCACAACGTTTCACACCTTTTGCACGCACATCGCATTAATACAGAGTATACGTATATACAATCAGATCAGGCTCTATATGCTCATAAACGTACATTTCCACATTTAAAATTTAACTAAAATAATAGACAAAAGTTTATCCTAAGGTAATTCAACTACGTACAAAAGAAAACTAGCTACAAGACAAATAAACAATTAAAAAACGAAACGAGACAGAAATTTAAAGCTATGCGACTATGAGTTGCTCTGCTGCTTTTAAAGTGGTTAAAAATATACGAATTGTTAATTTAGCCTTTACTTTTTAAAGAAGAGATGGCTGCTTGAGTATATACGATGGGGAAAGAGCAAAAAACAACAAGGCTTCAGCTTAAGAGATCGATGTCAAAGAATTTGTTTGATTTTCATTTACATATATATTCATATATCTATATACTATTTTTTTTAATATTTTTATTATAATTTTATTTTTTATATACATTGAATTTTGTTTAAGAAACCATTCTTGATTTTGCTGAAAATAAGGTCACTAATTTATGCCTAAATGTCTATTTCTTAGGCAAAAGTAATTGAACGATCGATTCAGTTGTCGAGCATCACGAATACGCCGTGTTGTAGGTCGAAGTCTGGCAACCGCAGAGTGGGGGCTGGCTAAAATGGAATTGATTGAATTGTGAAAAGTTTTTATCGCAATATAATCAAATGCTGCGGCTTGTGGGAATCGCGTGAGAATTTCGCTTCGTTTTCTTGCCATTAGAATGAAATTTTTCTAGCGTAACGAAATTTTTGCCTTTTGCTTGTCTGTTTTTCTTTTTCTTTTTCTCTTATTTTTTTGGCATATTGAAAAAGCTTTTTTGGTCTCTGGTTTTGAAAACTTGTAAGGCGTTCGCAACGGGCACACAATTACATTTGATTGCCTTGAAAATCGATTTTCTTTTAATTGTATTTGATGTACATTTAGAGACGTTAGCGCACATTTTCCTGCCTTTGTAATTTTCATGTTGGACCCTCAAAATAAAAAAAAAACTGAAATTCACTCTATGTGCGTGTTGACAATTGAATTAATTGACTTTTAATTAGTTTTACAAGCGGGGAAAAGGTTTAAGCATATTTCACATTAAACAAAAAAATACACAGAATTTCGCAAAAAACTTTGATGAACTTTCGATAATATTTATAGCACCTGTTCCAGTTGAACGTGTTGCTAACCTAGCTGACTCACACACTGCTAACATTTCGAAGCGTAGTGGGCTATTCCAAAAAATTGCCTCACTTGCCTGCCCGCCCGTCTTATCGAAGCTGATAGGCAAGTTCTTGCGCCGAATTAGTTCATTGCCTTTGACTTTCCCAGAACATAATCAAAGTTGTCTATATAGAAAATAATTTATTATTTTATTTTAAAGCATGGAATCACTTTCTATGCTGCTAGATTTTTGGCAGCGTGTAAATTCGGTATGTGTAAATATTCTTGAAGCGTTTAAAGAATATGAAAATAAAATCAGTGATAGTAAATGATAAATGAAAAATGAAGACAAATTAGGTCAAATGACTAAGACAAATAAGGTCTTCTTATGCTAATATTCGTTCACAAAGTGAAAAGGGCATATTGGGCTTGCACAATCATCGTCTCAAAATTGTTGCCCGATAAGGACGATAAGTAAAGGATATTTGGTGTGAATAGCGAGTTTACTCTACAGGTAAGCCTATCTATATAGAGTTCTTTAGGCTTCTCTCTTTGGGACATTGATAAACGGTTTTGCTTGAACGCGTATTATGCAGTCGATTGTGCTTGAGGACAAAGTTTTTATCGGTTTTTTGTTGCTTGTATTATCTGCTTTTGTGTATTTTTCTAATGTCCTTTGAGTTTGCATCGATAATAATAGAAGGCTGTTTCCTTTACAAGAATTGCCATAAATTGAAAATCAATTTTTTGTCTCCTAATGGATTTACTGTAAGCGACAGGCTGTAGACATATCGACAGACTGAAGGCCACTTGGAATAGAACTATCAACTAGCTACGTCAGCGATATAGTTTGGCAAACAATACCATAAAATTCTACACCTATTGATTTTCCCACACACACTTACACACGCAATATGCATCTAGACAGCACTTAATAAAAAGTCCAGCACAAAAAATATTTTTGTGACAGGCTGTTGGAAAGTTTTCACGCGCAGATTTGAGTGTTGGAATTTTATTTGAAATACATGAATATTTATATGTATATATATCTATATATATATATAGATATATATATGTATATATATATACATATATATATATTTGAATATAGAAATAAATATATATAAAATAGAATAAATGACATACACACATACTGGCACACACATGCTGGCACGTCTGCACGCACACACATGCCATATTATGGCAAAGTTTCGCTTAAGCACTTGAGGTGCAAATGGGAATGTGCTCCATGGCATACTTCGAACCCAACTCGCCTAGTCAACGTGCTCTGCGTCATGTCTCTGTGTTTGATGTAGAAGCTTATAAAGCGCAACCAGCGTGTGCGTGTGTGTGTTTGACTGGGTGTGATTAGGCTATCATTGGATGGTGGTGCCTAGAGTGGCTTGGCTTGGCTTGGTGGTGCGTGTGGAGTTGGCACTTTTTTGGGCGCTGGGTCCATTGAAGTATTGCCCAGGTTCTCAGCCTCGAGGTTCGGGTGCTATTTGTCCATTTGCTTTCATTTTCTCTATTTAGCTGTGTTTACTTTCGCTTCAGAACGCGATTTTCCAATCGATTGAACACATGACATACACACATACAGACGTACAATGTACATAAGACATATGTATATATAGAGTTGATACATGTATATATGCACAAATGTGGACCCAGTGGCCCACAACAAATAGGATCACATATGGCACCGGCTGGCGCAAAAAAGGAGCCATAGACCAAATGTAATTCAAAACTCTGCGGTAGATGGCGACGGGCACCCTACGTACTCCACTTGGATTATGACAAATGCGTCTGGCATTGATTTCGTTCTATTTTTGATCACATTTAATTAATAATTCGGCTTTTGTTTTATTTTCCTTCGCTTCTGTTCTTTTTTACATCCTTTTTGTTAGTGCTTCCAGTTCTGCATTTATTTACGCATCAATTTGTGGCGCTGATTTATGTCGCCGGTCCCCCAACAATAAGCAAAGCCCAAAAGCAAAACAACTAAGCCGAGCGAAGCTATGAATGCTCGACTAGAAAATACCCAAGAAAATGCTGCCCAAACTTTTAAACAGGTCGGATACATTGTAGGAATATTAATATGATATATATTAGAAAATCCATTTTAGATTCTCTGAGGCATTTTTTTCTTGTTACACAAATTGTATAAATTCACAAAAACTTTGATAATAGCCGAAAAAGTGCTTATCTAAATGCGAACTAAATTGTTTCGTTAAATTAAGTTCATTTCACTCACTTTAATATATGAATGTACTCAAATATATAAGCTGTTGAGCGCTTTGTATACAGGGTATGAAGCCCGAAAAAAATGCTTTGCCTAAATGCGAATTAAATTTGTTTCTCTCTCACTCAAGTGGAGAGGGAGGGACGGAGAGAGGCATGCGGGCTGTCTTAAAGTATTAGCAGCTCAGTCAACGGTCGCAGGATGCGAGGACTTGGCTAGGAGTTGTCGCAGGCGCTGCGGCTGTCCCCTGTCCTCTGTCTGCCTGGATGAGCTTCAGCAATTGCGCAATTTTAAAGCGTTCTCCGTTGGGCGTTTAATTAAATAAAAAATTTACACTGACTAACAGCTAAAAGCGGAGCCAAACAACAAATTTTTAATTGGAATTTAAAATGTTGAGCTTTCACTTAAGCTGACGTCAAATTAGGCCTCGAAGGTTATATAATTTTATCTCTATCTATCCAAAAGAAAAATATTATAATCTAGCAGCCTACGTATCGATCTAACAATAGACCGTAATTTTGTGGCTTTCCTGGTTTTCCTTAGCTGCGTAGCTCACACAGGAAATTGGAAACTACCTCTCTCCCTCACACTTCCTTTCTCTCTCTCTCTCTCTTTGGTTTAAGCTCTTGCCATTACGTGAAAGCTGATTATATATATAAACGTATTTGCGTTACATATTGTCATAGACTAAAGCCAGTTGTGTTCCTTTACCGTGCTGCCTAGTGTTATTAGCACAAAGGGACGGCCGTCGAGTCACTTACTGAAAAGTTCCTGATGACCACGTCGACCCACATTCACTTATTACACAGCTCAGCTGGCTTTGGGCCGATGACTGATGAAAAAATAAAGAAGGAGAAAATGTAGAGCCGTAAAACGTGCTGTACGTAAACACTCCGTCGTAAACAATCACCCGCTCGCCGTGGCAGTTGTCTGTGTGGTCTGAATTGCAAGTAAGATGAAAAAATAAATCTCGTGTAGCAATTGTTGCTGCAATGTTTTCAATGTAAACAGAATTAACATATGCAAATTTTTTGCTTGCCCACGTGTGGACATATATATATACACACATATATATGACTCACTGTGAACTATATCATTGTATGTGTGTTTGTGTATGGCATATAGACAAGTTGCCTGTCTGAGTGCTAAACGACTATGAGCCACGAGCTAAATATTTCGGTCAGATTATATATATATATTATGTATATATATAAATATTATATATATATATACATATATGGCATTACTATATAGTACCCTTTGAATATTTAGAGTTAAGAGATGTTTTTATATATGTTTTCTTAATTCGATTTTTATCAATATTTCCGAAGGGATTAAATTTTGAAATATTTTAATCTCATTTGAGCAGAAGAAATTCAAAAGTTTTTATAAGTTAATTTATTTATATATCTATTAATTTTGAGAAATAATTTTTTAAAATTATATTTTGAATAAAAATCATAAGCAAAGTGAAAAATATTAAATTTAGTTTAAAAAATAATTAAAATATTGATGAATTTTTATTTAGAAAATTAATATACGTGGCCCTAAGAGCACTGATTATTTAAAAAAGAAAGTCTGTTGAGCAATATTAAGAAGTAAAAAGGTTATCAACAATTCTTAAGAATTCCCAGCCGTTGCTTACTCTCCTCTCTCCCGCTAGTCTCCATGTCAGCTTGTTAGACTATCATACAAAGTGTGCAGTTGTACTGAAAGCTTGAATTATGTGCAGAAAATGCAAATGTCGAGCAGGCACGTGTGGGCTGCGAGCGTGTGAAGCGTCCTGCTTTGCTGTGGCGGCTTAGCCAAGTGCTATTAAATATGCATTATTATACAGCTTTATCATTATAATAACCTTGATAACTACATATACACAAAGTGACCGGTTTCTAGGTGTTTGTGTAGACGAGACAATAAATATGGCTGTAAAACGGAAAACATGGGCAGAATAATCGGAAACCGCGACAGCTATGCATACACTTAGCATATTTTACACGGTGCAAGGACTACGGCTAATATAAACTACTGCATTTGATTTACGAGATATATACAAACTGCGTTCTTTATCGATATCGACTGCTGCAGCAGCGTGTTTACAAATTTATCAAATAAACTTCATTTACAAACTGATGGGAAAAATAAATATTAATATGCATGTGAACAGTTCATAACATACATGTTTATGTACATGCATATGAACATACATACATATGAGTATTCATCCTCACACTACTTCCCTTCCTGCTCGTTCCTTATTTCACTGCACCCACGTTTATTGCTCCTCGAAACACTATGAACACAGCTAATCGAAGCATAATTGCATAGTTGGGCCATGTACCACAATCATAGGCCAACTCACAAACGTACACAGGTTTATGCATGTATAGTTTGCATACATATATGCAAACATACATACCTACACACATATTTACTCACCATTTCTACCACTGCTGCTCCTCCAGTTTAATCTCCACTCACTGCTCCACCATGTGAACACTGCTAATATAGCATAAAACCTGAGGAGCCTACTTGAATTCATGAGAATTGCATAGAAGGCTAGTCTTGCAAGTTCGTTGCTTTATAAATTTCGTTAGTAGATGTTACAATGTAAAAATATAAAATATATACATATACATATATATCGCCTGCATTTATACATATATATACTAACTTTGTCATCTATACTTACATTAGAATCGACAACTTTTTATTGATTTGTAATAATAAATAATCTCATTGGATTTTGGTTGTTCCTAACTTCACTTAGAATAGCAATCAATCATAGAAAAGGACTTTGTTGGTGCCTAAGTATATTAATAGTATCCATTATAGCTATATATATGTATATATAGCACATATATGTATATTATTGTAAGCGACAAACGGAGACTATGAATATATTTTAGTCCCTACCAAAAGTTGTGAATCAATCAATCCTGAATTCTAATGAAGTTAGGATATATGTGCATACCAAAATATATGTGCTGTTATCATAAGCTACTTATATATATGTATTATTTATATAGAACTTAGATATACGATCCAGTGAATCTGTGCTAATCCATCATTATTCTAATTTGCAGGCAATCAACATCAAATGGCAGAGGACGAAATCTTTGGCGATTTGCGTAAGTAACTATATGTGAGCATTGCCAAGAGCTGTTATTAATATGGGTGATTAATAGCTGCAGGATAAGCATGTGGCTTTGGCATAAGTGGGTGGCTGCGTGTGGTGTATCAGTGGTTTGCTAATGAATAATCTAGCCACAATAACTCAATCGGCAGAGGGCTTCATTAGACTCGCAATTGCGTATGGAATTTTTAGTAGCCGCATTAAATCTCAGCTAAAAGCCAATTGTAGTTGTACTAGTTGTTGTTGTCTCTGTTATTGTTGTTGTAAACAATCAAAGGCAAATGAAAAACTGACCAGAAAAAGAGAAAATATGTGTGGAAAAAATGCGTCTTTGACGTCAGTCGTTAACATCTGGCCCGGCCAGCAGTCAAAGCGGCCATGCCACCGAAAATGTTGCTGCCTCTTCGAGGAGCATAACAATAGCTACAGCTGTGATAGATGGCAAACCGCAATTTAATGCCGCGCACATCTACATAATTCATAAGTATATATAGGTTTACATGTACAAATATCTCATAGCACATGTATCTTTTAGATATATTTTATAGATGCTTTGGCTTTTGGCTAAATTGTTCCTGGCATGCCAGCGTGAATGTATGAATGTATGAATGTAAGAATGTATGAATGTATGAATGAATGGATGTATGAATGTACCTATATCCGAATATCAACGTTCATTTGAATGTATGTACAGATATATTTACTGCCATATCGATAGTTGCTACAACACTTTTCATTTATACCGTCTGTCTTTCTCTCTCAATATCTCCACTCTCTTTCCTCTTTTCCGCTATAGAGGAAATCCTTAATGCCAGCCGAGAACCAACCGGATCGACCATGCCACAGACTTTTCCACAATCCGCCTCGTTGCCCGTGATGCCGTCCCACATACCGCTGTCCGTGCCGGCAGCGCCAGCTGCTCAGCGACGACCATACATACGAATTGTCGAGGAGCCTACGAACAAAATTATACGCTTTCGCTATAAGTGCGAAGGGCGAACGGCGGGCTCGATTGCCGGCATGAACTCAACGCCGGATGCAAAAACCTTTCCCACGATCGAGATCGTTGACTACAGCGGACCCGTTGTGGTTGTCGTCTCGTGCGTCACCCGGGACAAGCCTTATCGCCAGCATCCCCACTGGCTGGTCAGCAAGGAGGAGGTCGACAATTGCAAATCGGGTGTCTACAGCAAGAAACTGCCTCCCGAGGAGCGACGCCTCGAGCTCCAGAAAGTGGGCATCCAATGTGTGAAGAAAACAGACGTGCGTGAATCGTTGATGGCACGCGAGCAAAAGAATATTGATCCGTATCATGGTAAGTGGCACAGTAGATGGGAAAGCGCTCACTTCAACTGACTTCTGGTCCATCTCTCTGTAGCCAAATTCGATCATAAAGACAACATAAGCAGCATAAATCTGTATGAGCTACGCCTGTGCTATCAGGCCTTCATCAAGGTGGGCAACAACAACGTTCCACTTGATCCGGTTGTCTCGTCGCCCATCTATGGCAAGAGCAATGAGCTGACCATCAATCGGCTGTGCAGCTGCTCGTCGAAGCTGAGTGGCGGCGACCAGATCATCTTGTTGTGCGAGAAGATCTCCAAGGATGACATCAGAATACGTTTCTTCGAGACAAACGAGGCGGGCGTCGAAGTCTGGGAGGCTTACGCGGACTTCCAGCCCACGGATATTTACAAGCAGACGGCCATAGTCTTTAAGACGCCGCGCTATCGTAACACAGAGATTCAGCATAGTGTGCAGGTGAGTTGAGAGTGCAAATCCCACTGCTGAAGAGGCTAACGATCGATTTGCTCGGCAGGTGGAATTACAGCTGGAGCGACCCTCGGATCGAGCGACGAGTGCCGCGCTGCCTTTTGAGTACTATCCCAATCCAGGTATGCTAACTTTTGCGCGTCTGCAGCGCAAGCTGAAACGCAAACAGGAGCTGGACGTCTTCCAGCAGATACTTTCTTTAGATAGCGAGACGACGGCCACGAAATATTCGTGTCCGCCCGTCGATCTTAATGACGACGAGAATACGGTTTCATCGGATGAGCAGCAGAGCTCGGGCACCTTGAATGATTTCGAAATCGCGGTCAAGAAGCTGCAGCTGCGACAGCGCGGCGAATCGGAGGCCAATGAGGCGGATGCCACACAAACGGAATACACCGATGGCATGGACAATGATAATGACCAGGAACCGGATATGGAAATTGAGTTGGAGGTGCCACAGCTGCTGCCGCAGCTTGCCGACGATTGCACGCAGACCTCCACGCCCATGGAGGAGATCTTGCAGCAGCCGCAGCTCCAGTCGCGCCCCTTGAGCAATGTGGACAAGATTAATGAATGGATGCGCAGCAGCGAGTTCGAGAGAACGGACAGTCTTACAGTAGAGAATGGCGACACGCCCACACTCTCCCACAGCACTGCCCAGACGGCATTTACAAATGTGAGCAGCCTGACTGCCAATACGACCATAACGAATCAGCTCGAAGATGAGGAGAAGCCCCAAGAGGGCGATGGCAGCGCCTCGAGGCGGGATACTCTAGAAAACGCCGCCTTGAAGGAGCTGCCCGTGAGCGAAGTGGAAGCCGAGCCAGTGAGTGCCAGCGCCCAGGCCTCTGTGGATATCGACGAAAACTTTGATGAGACCGCGACCTATACGAGTCTGCAGATCGCCTACAACCATCCGATCGAAATGCCACAAAACCAAAACAGAGATCAGCACTACCATGTCTCCAATCCGTTTAGCATGCTAGACGAGGCCGAGCTGGTGGTACTCACCAATCCGCCGGCGCCTAAGATACAAGTGAATGCAGCACAAACGCCAGCCACGCCCCCCTCGCCGCCTTTGCCTCTACCACCGCGCACGCCCTCGCCAGATCCGGAGAAGCGGCTGCCGCCACTGCCGCCCAAGCCACGCAATTCGCAGGATTTGAGCGTGAGCGAGCAGAGCGTCTCCAATTCCGTCAGCCACTCGCTCACCCGCTCACGCAATGGAAGCGTTAGCTCCACACGCACAACACCTTCACCTATTATTATAATGCACACGCCCGACCAGAGTCCGACTAAGCGACTGCCTGCTGCAGCCACGCCCAGCAGCTCAGCCACAGCCTCTCCCAAGAAACGACAAGGTTTCTTCTCACGTTTATTTTCACGCCGTCGCAGCAGCAAGAGCGAGGACGAACAGGAGCTGGGATCTCGTGCTACCACGCCCACGGGAAACCAGTTCAGCCTGGGCACTCCGAATCGCAGCTCGGTTCGTTCCCTGCAGCCACCTGGTTTGAGTCCCCAGAACAGCGTATCGCAGCGCAGTGGCCGTCCAGTGGGTCGCAGCTCTAGCAGCGTTTCGGGCAAACGACCCGCTCACATGGACGCCGATGTCATTCACATACCACTCAAAGGCGGCGATAGCGAGAACAGCTTGTTGCGTCCTGAAAGCTACTCGAATGCCAGCACATTGACCTATGGACGGCCGCTCGATCGCAAGACGCTGAGCACGCTGCAGCTGGCTGATATACCCATTAGTGACGGCAACATGGAACTGGTGGCCATTGCCGATCGTCAGAGCATTAAGAACTTGTGCGAGGGCGCCTACGGCGTGGTACTCGATCCCAGTGTCGATCTCTCAGGAGCGGAGCACTTTGCTCTATACACCAGCAAATCGCCAGAGCCGGAGCGCGAGTTGGAGGGCGGAGGCGGCGAGGGTGAAGTTTCGGATTTCTTAAACGCCGACGAGATTGCGCGTCGTCTAGCCGAGGCCAATGGGCTGCAGTGAAAACTCTTTGAAACTTAATCTACAATTTTTTTCTAGTCGTCTTTTCTTTCAGTATTATATACGTGTACCTCTAGTCTACACACACACACGCATACACACACAATACTCATAACACAGTTAATCTTGACCCTACCCAATTGTCTTTGTAGATGCAGTGGCCGTGAAATGTCGCCTTGAGGCGACCAAAGCCACAGAAAGAGTTAAACGCAAGCTTTCTGGCATGATGCACCAGAGTCAGAATCAGAAACAGTCGAAAATGTTATGTAAGTCAGCAGTTGATCAAATGCGGTGTTGGGTTTCACGCACATTCACGACTCTTCGAAAGAAAACAAACATAGCATACATTTCAGCGTCTGAAGAGAAGCTCCCAAAAATACACACACACACACATTTGCAGTAACAAGAAAAAAGCATAGCATACATTTGAGCGTCTTGAATTTGTAGCAGCAGAAAAGTTCCTAAGCACACACCCATACATACATGAATACACAAATACACACATACACACATTTGACCTTTCCAATTTACATACATAGTTACATATATTAATATTCATATACTAGTCTCCTCTTTAAAGTAGACACAGAACACCCTTTGTGGACCAAAAACGTTTTTGAAATTTGTAGTAACCAGATATACCTTGCCAGGTATTCTGCTTATGTGTTGTTGGCTCGTCATATACATATATATATATGAATATATATTTGAAGAACATTCATAGCTGTGTGTAATTGAATTGATTGAATAAAAGTTTTTACTAAAAACTCACAGATCTGTCTAAAAAGTTGTTACTGCGTACTGAAGGCTTTTCTAAAATGAAATTTTAATTTATTACAAATATAAAATAATGATTCTATATATATTGTCCGCAGTGCGAAACTGTCTCATATTGAATTGAAAATTCGTTTTATACAGATAAATGTATAGTTAAATTTGAATATTAAATATCCGATTATAACTCAAGTCATTTAGAATTGCCAAAGACGGCTTCGGTCAGCCGAAGATATGTGATTATCTCATCTTCAAGCTTAGGTTTACATAGGCATAGCTTAGTCAGGAGAATGTGATTCAGATCGTTGGTCATGTAAGTTGTTCAATCAATATTGTTGTTGTTGTTGTGATTACGTGACCTTTTTAAGTTTTGGCACAGTTCATCTGAGTTCCTTTCTTTTGTAATTATTTTGATTGTTGTTTTTATGGCTGTCCACACCTAAATGCTTAGTTTATATAGCGTTCATTAACTCAGTTGTAAGCGAAAACTTTTCGTCTTATTATTGACAGTCTGCTAATGAACTTTTCCCAATACTTTGCAGCCAATCAACTGCTGGGCGTGGCAGCGGCGCCGTCGCAATTGATGACGCCCATCAGCAGCTACAATGGGAATGGAAATAGTCCCAGTCCCAATGGGTCGTATGTGCCAGAGATCAAGGCCGAGCAGCTGCTCTATGAGCTGGACAGCACGCGCAGCTGTCCCTCGGCAGCCAGTTCGTACAACAACTACAGCTACTTTCCTGCCTCGCCCAGCTCCAGTTGCAGCACAGCGGACAGCTTTGCCCCTGGCCAACAGCAACAGCAGGATCACTTACTGCAGATGCTCAACCAGCAACAGGACAACTTAAATGTGACAATGAGTGTGAATAACAACGCCAACAATTGGAACACAACAACGTTGTTCAACGGAGGCAGCATAACACCCACCAATCTCAACAATGGATATAACAACAACAATAATAACAATGTCTTCAGTGCCACAAGTCCAGCAGCATATCAAACTGGTTTCATGCCAACGCCACAGGCAATCAAAGCTCCTCAGCTCCTGGTCCAACCGCCACCGCCTCCTGCACAGCCCCAGCAGCAACTCGATGAGAATCCGTCCTTAAGCGATTTAATTATGAGCAGCACCTTAATGGACTACACGACGATAGAGCAAATGGATCCAAATGATATCATGATGGATCTACAGGCGACGCTCTGTAATCTGGAAATGGCAAGTCAGGCAAACAATCAAAACAAACCCGATAATGCATATAATGTGTAATATACGTATGCATAGAGATATTTGTATGTAACATATTTGTAGCGTTAGTTGTATATAGATATAAATAGTTATTATAAACATAGATTGTTATGCGAATCTCATTTTATATTCGAATCGTTGTGTTAACATAAAATAAAAATGAAACCAATAATTTTAAGATAGTACACTAGACCGAACTGTGCACACTTATTGGGGGAATGTATATATAACCAGAATATAGGTAATTGTGTCGTTGTCTAACGACAGAAGTAGGGCTGGCCGATGTTTGCATTCTTTTCGCTGCGCATGCCGGCAAAGAAGCGCTTTATGTCATCCTCGGTAACGACCTTTTTGTTGGCGGCAAAGGACTGCAGAAACTCCTTTAGTTTATCGCCCATGCGGTTGTATTCGGTGATCACATCGATTTGCTTTGTGCGATCAATGGAGGCCAGGGCACGTATGCCCTGCTCATAGCTGGAGTTCTCTTCAATCCGTTTCATGCCGCGCTTCTCGTAATCCTCAACGGAATCCTCGGCATCCAGGAGAAACTCCACAGACTGATTTTTGTACAGCTCCAAACACTTGCCGCAACGGCAAAGAGCTTTACGCCAGTCGTTGGCCCAGAAGGCGGCGCCTGTTCAAGCAAACCAAAAATAGGTTTAGTAAGAATTTGAAGCTTAGCTTAGTCAACGGGGCCACAACACTCCATAAAACATTTGTCAATACAACTATAATATTTTAACTTATAAATTGAGTCGCTTAACATGAATGTGGAATACTTTTCGGAGGGGCTGGAATGCTTGATGTATTGCGGAAGGAAACTATCGCCAGAGCAACGAATTCTCATTGAGAACTCGTTGATTGTTTTGCTGCAGGAGAACCGCTTTTCGGGCATGTATTTCTGGGGACGCATTACGGCTATTAAGAATGACTACTATATTGCCTTTGGCTACACAAATGACTGTCTAAAGGATCGCAAGTACTTCTACAGTATCGATCAGTATCAATGGCAGCTGTTGCCATTTGTCCAGAGCCCAAAAATTTTTCAAGCCACGGTCTTGGCACCCGACCCTTTTTTTGGGGATCCGAGTTTGCAAACCTATGTTAAGCTGGTATGTTGTTGATCGAGAAAAAGCCCTGCTAAACTTTGTGCATTGTTCTTGCTCATCTCATCCGTTTCAGGATCCGACATTTAATATAGTGGCCAATCAAGTGATTAGCATTAGTAGCCCGGAGGTGATCAAGCTGAAGGAGGAAGAACGTCTGGCTGCCATAGTATTTATTATAAGTGAAGAAAGCGCCATTTGTCCACGCGGTGCACTCTATAAGATGGTCGATGGGCGCGTCATACCCAATCAAATGTTTCGCGGCCTGAACGATTTACAAATCGAAAATATTTCCTACTATCAACTGTACCGACTGCCGCGTAACGATCTAAAGACAAATTTGTCGAAGCGCAGCGACTACAACTATGCCATCGACTTTCTGGATACCATCGATGGCGTCATACCACTGAATCAGGCCTTCACCTTGAATATGCAACGCAATGAACGCATTGCGATCATAAAGTCCTGCGTTTGGCTGGGCATGACCTTCTTTCACAAGCTGAACTCACGCAAACATGGCTTTGTCTATCTGGGCGATGGTCGCAAAAACTTTGATTTGCTGTTTATGTATTGAAATATGTTAATATATTTTCAGTTGGTGACAGAGATTGTCTAACAAGCACTTACTACAGGCTAGCTTCTCGGCGATTTACCTTTGTTTCCCATTAGCGATTTCGGACGTTGGCATTCGTCCTCGTTCAGTTTGTTGCGTTTCTCGGGCGGTTGTTCCGATTGGCCTGGCTGTGCATCGTTCTTGTTCAACTTGCTGTCCACCACGTTGACCTCCGTTGCGGATTCCTTGGTCTCAGTTGATGGCTGCAATGCCAGTCCGATATAGTCTCGTAGAAAGTCGTGACGTTCCATGCAGCAGTCGCAAATCATTTCACTGCAGGCATTTGACAATTTCTCCGATCCTGCTGGCGCCTTCATGTGCTGCAGATGGAACCAGTCCTCGCAGATGACGCATTGCAGCATTGTCTCCTCGGTGGTTCGCTCTGGGTCGGGATAGGGTCGCTTGCATTTGCAGTACACGCCCTGAAAATTCTGATTGTACAAATTATTTGCATTTTTCGGCTGCGCTGCCTCCAGCTGAGGATTCAGAGCACAGCGTTTCTCTAGAGTTGGACAATCACAGCGGAAATTACGCCGGGTATAGAGTTCGATGAGTTCATGGTTCTCATGGCATTTATAGGAGCAGGCAAGGCATACGCCAGCGCTTTTTCTCGGATTTTCGCGTGCCTCTGGGCAGCAGGTGAGGCAAGAGTAAAGTGCCTGGCGTTGTATGGCCCCTTTGGCATAGGTACAATCCTTTTCATCGGAGCCGCCAAGCACTGCAGCATATTCCTCTTCTAATTCTTTCTCCTCTTCGAGGACATCGAGCATTGTAATGGTCGACTGCTCTAATGGATTCGATTCGTCCACGTCAGCAGCGTTTGTTGATGTGCTGTTTGTTTCGCTCATTGTAACACAAACAATTTGCAAATAATGTTATTAAATTTGTTCTTAAGTACAATGTATAAAAACGCTCTTGTTTGGCGCAAAAAAAAAACTTGAGAATAGTGTTGGACTATTCGAAACTAAAACTTCATCAGCTGTGGTTCATTTGAGTAAATTTACCGAACTTTGTTCGCACGCAATATGACATTAATAATTATAATGTATGTTTTTTGTAGCCACGTAGAAAATTGTTTATTAATTTAATTAAAAATTTCGCACTTTATTTACGATTTACTTTCTAAAATATTAATTAATTTTGTGATTTGTATAAACCAGCAATTCTTTCACATAAAATTACCTTTCACAACACTAACAGGGCTGCGCAAAACTAATTATCGCTAACAATACGATGAATTATCGATAGTTGCAGTGTTGTTAAGTGCGGTAGTGCTTGACACCTTTTACAACACACACCCGTTTTATTTTCTTGTGTCTGGTTGATTCTTTTTATAAACAATTTAGTTTCTTGTGTTTTTCCTTGTAAATAAAACTATAAAATGAATGCGCCACCAACATTTGAATCGTTTTTACTCTACGAAGGCGAGAAAAAGTGAGTATCTCTTTTCAAAAACATTGCAAATCATAATTGACGACATTTTGGCAGAATTATCAAGGAATTGGACACGAAGGTAACGAATGCCGCAATTTTCACTATAAACAAGGAAGATCACACATTAGGCAACATGATTCGCAAGTATGCCAAGCCAATAATAATTATCGATGGTTATTAATAATTGTGCTCAACAGCCAACTGTTGAAGGATCCAAATGTGCTATTTGCCGGTTATAAGGTGCCCCATCCGCTGGAGCACAAATTCGTTATTCGGATACAGACAACGGCAGATTATTCACCACAGGAAGCATTTATGAATGCCATAACGGATCTGCTTGCAGAGTTGTCGCTTTTCGAGGAGCGCTTCAAAGTCAGTATGCGAGGGTAGTCTGAATACGTGTCGGCTTTAACATAGCAAATATAGGAAAGTTAAGCAAAAGTCAAAAAACAGAAAATTGAAAAAGATAATTATTAAATTTACAATTTGTTAAGCCGAGAATTATTCAGACCAACCTGGTATTTTATATTATTTTTTGAATGATTACTAATTGTTTATATTGCTTTCAGGATGCCATCAAGGAGAAGAAAGAGGGCGGCGATTAGTTGTAGTTGACTCATTTATTAATTTAACAAAAAAAAACCTTGCGAAACAATAGAAGTATATTTTCACTATTTGTATAAATAAATAAGAAATAAAAATAAAAACAAAATAAAAATCAAAATTAAAACATCAAATTTTCTATACAAAAAACATGTTAACACAATAAAATTTTAATATAGAATTTGTCGTGCAAAACATTAAAACAGCTTCCGAAGAGGTATAAAATGTTGTAAATAGATTAGTTAGCTTTAAGGTTGATTATAAGATTATAAAAATATGTTCGCGAGTGTAACAACGAACAAAATTAACTTAGATTAGCTTAGTTTTCTAATAGGTCTCATCGTCGGCGCACTCGCTCGTATCATGTCCGAAAACTGAAAGCAAGGGGAATATATATACATAAATAAATATATACAACTTGTAATCATCGATTTGAGTATCGCTCACCTTCACAGGACTCACAGTATTTGCGTGGAGCCGGCAGCTTTCGCTCCTTCTCATTGCTGTTGGAGTCGGCAGGTGGCGGCGGCGAGTAGTCGCGCTCATCGCCTGCTTGGAGCGGACAATCCTCCGTTTCATGCTTATCAAACTCATCACAGATATCACAGAACAAACGTGGAGCTGGCTTTCGTTTGTTCAACATTTCAAAGGCGTAGGGTCTACAAAGAGAAAATGATTAGAAATCCATTTATAGTATATATATAATCTGACTCACTTGGTAAAGTCTATGGGCAGCGTTTCCAGCGTCTGCACCTTGGCTTTTAATGCATCGTTCTTCTGTTGCATATCCGCTATGATTGAGTTGAGGAAGTTAATCTTAGCCAGATTGGTTTCAGTGTCGACCTGCGGAGATATATTAGTATTAAGATTAAGAGTGGACGTTCGGGAGATTCCCTAATACTTACTTCAGCATCGTCGCCTTCTGTAGCTGGATTGCTGGACCCATTGGCTTGGGCACGCATTGCCATAATTTCGCGTGCCTCCTCGAGCTCTAGTGAGTGCAGTTTCCGCGTCAGCTGCTGGCACTCCAGATGCGTCAGCTGCTGTGATTCCTTAGCTTGATGCAGTGCCAGCTCAAGCTCCTTGATGCGAATCTCCAGCTGCTGCATCTTTGAAGACTTTTCTCTGGAAGCCTCATCCATTTCATCGATTACCTTTTGATATTCCGATAGTTGGTCATCCAGCTCGTTGCCTTTGTCCAGCAGCTGCTGCTTCTGCAGCAGCACTTGCTGCTGCTCTGTGCTGATCGCTTGCAGTTGATGCAGTTGCTCGTTGGATTTAGCAACTTCCGCTTGCAGTTGCGTTTCGCTTTGCTGGACCTGCTGCAGTTGCTCTTGGAGTTGCTTAAATTGGATTTGACTTTCTTCCAGCTGTTGCTGCGTCTCGGCTAGCTTGGATTGACTCTGCTGCAGTGCATCCTGGAGCTCCCCATTGGCCTGCTGCCTTTGACGAAGTTCTTCCGCGGCTTCTATGGCTGTGCCTTGTAAGTTCTCTTCATGCTTCTGCAGCTCTTGCAGCTTGGCTTCCAATTCCTTACTGTTGCACAGCTGGGTTTCCAGCTGGCTGTGCGTGTCCTGCAGCTCCTGCTTCATGCCCTGCAACTTCTCGAGCAGCCGCTCTGCATTCATATCCGTCTCCATCTCGAACAGCTCAAAGATGTGCGCCGTCTCGCTCTTCTCCGCCTGAAGCACTTCCAGCACCGTGGAGAGCTCTGCATTGGTCGTCGATATATTTGCATTTGCCACTTGAATGGCTTCTACCAAAGTCTTGAGGTCCGCTATCTTCTGCGCATCCTCGATAGCTAGCTGCTCTTTGTGCTTAAGCTCTGTGTTGGTTATATCCAATCTCTCTTGCAGCTCCTTGATAGCCACTTCGTTGGCTGCCTGTGTTTCGCTCAGCTGGACCTGCAGCTGCTTTAACTCCTGATCTCGCTTCTCCAGCTCAGTTTTGAGTTGCTCTCTGGCTGCTGCTTCGTTGGTCTGTGATTCGTTTATGCTTGCGCGACTCACCTGGAGCTCACGTTCCAGCTGTAGGCGTTTCTCACTGCTCGCATCCTTCTCCAAGCTGAGCTGCTTCTCTGCATTGCTCAGCTGCTCCGTTAGCTGCGTCAGCTTGGAGTTCAGCTCGCTACCCTCTGTCCTTTCGCTGTTCAGTTCTTGCTGCAGCTTCGCCTGCTGCTGCTCCAGCTGCTCGCACTTGACTGTGGTCGCCTCTAGCTTGCGCTGGGCATCGCTTAGCTCCAGCGTTTGTTTGGCCGCCAGCTCCTGCTCGGCCTTGAGCTTGCCCTGCAGCTCAGCGGACTGCTCTGTGCTGCTGGCGAGCTCCTTGGTGAGCAGCTCCACCTGTCCACATAGCGCATCGAGACGCTGCTGACTTGCCTGCAATTGGCGCTCGAGTCCACCTCGCTCCTCGTTGCTCTTTGTGCTCAGCTGTTCGTTGGTTTGCTGCTGCTCCAGCAGCTGCTGCGAGAGCTTCAATAGCTCTGCATTGGAGTCAGTTGAGCTGCTGTGCAAATTGTTCAGCTGCTGCTGTAATGTTTCTTGCTGCTGCAGCAGCGACTGGCAACGAGCCTCCAGCTGCTCGCGCTGCCGGCCTGCATCGCCCAGAGCTAGATCCTTCTGTATGACCAGCTGTTCCTGGTCCACAAGCTGCGTTTGTCTCTGCTCCGACTCCAACTTCATCTTCTCCAGGTTCTGCTGCACCTCTTTGAGCTCCCGCTCCAACCTCGCATTCGTCTGCTGCAGCAGCTCATTGTCGCTCGCCAGCTCCAAGCGTTGAGTGCTGCTTACGCTCTCTAGTGCTGCAAGGCTTTGCTGCTTGCCTTGCAGCTCCACGTTGAGCTGCTTGAGCGTCTCCTGCAGCTGCGTGGTGCTTGAACGTGCCTCAATCAACTCCGATTGCACCTTCTCCTGCTGCTGCTGCTGGCTCTCACACTTAGCTAGCAAAGCAGCATTTTGTCGCTTGACGTCGCTTATTTCCACTTCAGCGCTGGCTTTCAGCTGCGTCTCCGTTTGGATGCACTGCATCTGAGCTGTTGCAAGTTCGTCCTTCTTCTTTTCTAATGCTGCTTGCAGCGTCTGCTGCTGTTGCTTCGCCGTCTCCAGCTCCACTAGACGTTCACTTAAAGCTGCTTGAGTTTCGCTCTCCTTGGACTGCAGTTGAGCGAACTCTGCTTGCAGCTTCATCAGCTGTTGAGCACTGTGTTCTCCGCTCCGCGTGGCCTCCAGCTGCAGTTGCTCCAGCTGGGTTTGCGTGGCTTTTAATGTGGCTTCCAAATCAGCTGCTCTGGCGCTAGTTTGGCTCAACTCTGCAGCGTGGCTTTGGCGCAGTTGCTCTTGATTTTCGACTTGCTGTGCATGGATTTGAGTTTGCTCCAGCAGCTGCTGCTGCAGCTGCTCCAACTGACTTTGCTTGGCTTTCAGTGTGGCTTCTAAGTCTAATGTTCTCTCACTCGCTTGACTCTGCTCTGCAGCTCTTTCCAGCTTGAGCTGCTGTTGGCTCTCGACTAGCTGGGCACGCAGCATGGTTTGCTCGTCCAGCTGATGCTGCAGTTGCTGCAGTTTTAAGTCCTTCTCCTCCGTCTCTGCTTTGTGAGTCTGCACTAGCTTCGATTCCTGCTGCAGCTGCTGCTCCAGCGCTTGCTTTGCTTCCTTCAGCTGCGCATTCTCGAGCTGCTGTTGCTGTAGCAACGCGTTGCTATCGCCGCTCGCTCGCAGCTGCTCCTGCAAGCCGCTCAACTGCTGCTGCAATTGCTGCTTCTCGTGGGCCATTGCGGTATTCGCTGCTTGCAGCTCTTCCACCAACTTTTTGCTATCCGCATTTTGCGTCTGCAGCACCGTGAGCAGCTCATCGAGCGCACTGCTGTCCGCCTTTTGCACATTCCACTGGGTATGGACTTCGTCCAGCTGCTGGTTTAGTTCTTTGATCTGTTCGTCTCTCATCCGAATCTCTGTTTGAAGAATCTCACAGGCATCGGTGACATGCGCCCGTTGGCTCTCCAGCGTATAGGATGAGCTCTTGATTTCGTGCAGCTCTTTGCTTAGCTGCCTCACTTGCTCCACCTTCTCTGCCAGCTGCTGATCGAATGCCTCCTTGGCCTGCTGCGCCTGCTTTTCGTTTTCTTCCTTGAGCAGCGCCAATTCGCGTCGCAGATTCTCGATGCCGCACTCGGATAGCGAAAACTTCTCCAGGCTCTCATCCTTGGCCATCAGCTCCAATTGCAGTGTCTCATTCTGCTTCTGCAGATAGTTGATATTCTCGAGCAAACGTTCCTGCTCATCCAGCGACTCGGTGTGACGTGCCTCGCTCAGCTTCTCCTGATTGCTTAACTTCTCCTGCAGCTCAGCGATTTGCGCCTTGGCATTGGCCAAGGCGACGCTCTCCTCCATAGGCGGTATGCTCTGTAAGCTGGGCGTGGCTGTGGATGGCAATTGAATGAATTTATAAACAGAAGCGACCAGAAGACATTTCAAGCTAAATTTGTGTATACCTGAGACGAGCTTTGTAATTTTCTTTTCCAGATCAAATATCTTTTCTTTATACACCTGAGATTGGGCCTGCGGCGAGGGAAATAAATCGAATTAGTAAATATAACTCACATTCAAGTTGACTTTAGAAGATGGGCATTAACTGAATTTGTATGTGCATTAGCTGGTATTTTATTCGGGAGTGCCCGACTAGCATATACCCGGGGTCCTTTTTATACATAGAAAACAACCCATTCCCATCTTCAATGGATGCAGGGTATACAAATTGTATAAAAGATATGCTGGAACTCTGTTTGTTTTAAATTTAAGCATAAAGAAAAATAAAGTGAAGAAAAACGTTTTGCGTGCTGACTTTTATTAAACCTCTACTCTATATCATATTTATAAAACTAATTTAATATAAGCTCTATAAACTCTATCTATCTGGAATCTTTATTGCTTTCTATAAATAAAAGATAAATCTGTAGTGAATTTAATTTTACTTATTGAATCTCTTTGTAATGATTCTATAAGTAAAAATATCTCAAATAAAAATATTTTTATTATTTCATTTTTTTAAGATTCATAAAATATTTGGGGCCATACGAGATTTCAAAAAATTGTTATTTCAAATCATTACAGTTTGGTTAACAAATAGAAATAATTCATGAGCTAAATAAGCCCCAATAAATGTGAATTAAACTGTAATTCTCTTTCAATCTTTTTATCGGAGGTAGCTTTTTTGTATGGCACATGATTGATCGAATCGAATTTGCTTTGTTGTTTTAGTGTTTTTTCATTGAAGCTCAACGAAGCTCAGACATAGCGAAAGCTTATGGAAAATGCTGTGCTATTGCTATTCGATTATCTAGCTGCGTAGAGCGAAAGCGAAAGCTTAATCATTTGCGTTTGATAAGGGAAGTCATAGCTTTTGGGCGCTTGAACCACCAAAACTTTTGTTTCTTATGGGAGAACATTACAAATTTTAAACTAAATAATTATAGTTTGATTCTGCAAGAAAGACTTTTAAGGCTAAAACTATTATTTTCAATTGCTTTACTAAGAGCCTTCAGATAGTTATTATTAAAAGCTATTATATTTCAAGCGTGCCTAACCTATTCCCTCACTTATAAGCCTTCCTATGCAATCCTCATACTTTTAACTATGGCCTTGGCAAACCCTGATGATAAACATCTATATATATATAAGCTTTCATATATATACATACATATTATATTTTATAATTACAGCGCCTTTCTCTGCGCTTCTCAAACTTTAAACTTTACTCTCGACAAACCCCTAATAACACTCTTCAGTTAATGCACATTCCTCAGAAGTTTGTACTTCTCTTACATTCATTTCATCGCCACAGAACTGTGCTTCATCTATAGAGAATTGCAATTCCTCCGATTTCTTACGTTCATCGCCCAACTGCGACTCCAATTGCAAAATCCGTAACTTAAGCTGCGATAGGAGACGAGATAGGGTAACAAATAACAGAAAAAAGTGAATTAGATACAAAGATCCAGTTGAAAGAGAAATAAAACAAGTTTTTAAGCAAAATGCTTTGCAATAATATTTGTATATCGTATATTTGATATCGTAATGTATTTTAAGTTTTGTTATCTCGTAAATATGTTTTCATTTTTTATATCGTAGATCGTACAACTAGACAAACAGCAAGAAAATTCGCTTTCATAAAATCCATTTTATACAGGCTTTTCCAATTTCCATTTTTCAAATATATATATATATATGTATTATATATGCATATCTTTTATATTCAATAATATATGTAGAAACCATTAAGAATATGAAATTCAATTGGGCTTTGTGGCTCATGTTTTTTTTTTTTTTGTTTTTCATCTTTGTGATAGAAGATATCGTAAATATTTTTTGGTTCTTGCAGCATAAAACGCTGTGCAGACTTGTGCCTATAAAAACTTCAATTGAATCCTTATCGTTTTCACTTGATGCGCAATGGTGTCAGGACACTGTGCAGTATACAGTGCCTCTCGTGCTTGCCCGACCAGCCACGGAACTCGCGTCTCAGATCGGCCAGTCGAATGCTATGTCGAGCTATCAGACGCCTCCAGCGCTCGGCCTCGATCAGCAGTTGCTATAAAAATTGAACAGTGGTGCATAAAAGTCGTTGAACAATTGAGAATTTTGATATTTCGTTTTTGGTTTTGCGTTAAAAAGAGCAACGAGGGATTAGAACACTGGTTGGTTGCTTGGATTGGTTGATGAAATGTTTTCTTTTTTGTTTTGCCAATTTCTTGAATACAACTCAAAGTGCGCACGACATTTATGTATATGCATTTAGATGAGCATAGAGAACATAGATTTAAGAAAACTTAAAATGTAACTTCAATTTTATTCAAATAAACAAAATATGAACAAATAAACACATAAACAGTTGCAAATCAAAGCATATAGCAAGACGAAAGAGAGAACCCGAAAAGATACAAATATTCCCAGCCAGGCTGTCTGCAGAAAGTGTGCTAAATTTAATTGCAAATATTTGAATATTTTCAACTATATTTCTTGACTAAGTGTACAAATGTATAATAAACTGAGCAATGTTCCAAATTATGTGTTAATTGAAGAACCTTTCAAACCACTAGTTACTATGTCACTAAATGTCTTCAAAATGTATTGAGCATGTATGATATTGTGTACTAAGTTAAGGAATACCCCAATTTTGAGAATATAACATTTGTTAATTGCAAAATAGTTAAGCCGCAAGTGAAAATATAAAACAAATAACGAGTAAATGGTGTTTAATAAATATTTTAAAAATATTTTATGTGAATATTTGAAAACGTTTTAAATTAATATGTATTAAAAAATTTATTTAATTTTAAGGTTATTTAATTTTTGAAAAATATTTTAGTTATGTTCAAAATATTTTTTATAATAGAAAAATATTATTATATATGAAAAATTTGTTTTAAACATTTGAAATTTTTTTTTATTTTCCAGATTGATTTAAATATTTATTTTTTAAATGGTTTTCAAATATTACTTGAGCAATTTTGATACTGTTCGAGGTGTGTTCAAAATACATTACATTACATCTTCTTTTCAAAATCGCTACATAAACCTACAGTTTCAATTATATGGCATATTTAGTTTGCTTTGGTCTGCAGATCCATTGATCTGTGGTTCCCTAATATTATTTCGATTTAAGCACACCTCGGACGCCTAAACTTAAATTTCTTTCAATTAAACTAAAATTTTGTTATATGATACTGTTAAACTAACACCATGAGTGTGATTAGCTGATAATACTTGTGTTATTTTTGATATGGAAAATGATTTGTTGCTATAAAATAATTTTTTAGCTAGTGAAAATACTGATAGCAAAATTGTTATTATTTAAAATCTATTTAAAGCAATTGCTTCGTTTACTCAATTTTGTATAGCATTAAAGAAAATTGAAAAGTTCCTAAAGCAATTTTGCTCAAATCTGAGAAACCTAAATATTATGAAAGTTTATTAACACCAGGCCAAACGCTAATATAAATTTGCCAAAAATGTTAATAGAATTGCAATTGCTATGCTCGTTAGCGCCTTGTTAAGATGATGAACCCCCATGAACCTTGGCCGACTGAAAAACATGTGGAAAATTTCAAGCCCGACTTAGTTTTTGTACTTTTTTCTGTGTGTGTGGAAAATGAGAAAATTTTAATTGCACCGAAATAGTTAACGTGCGCAAATTAAGTGTGTGTAAAAATTGACAAACAACAATAAAATGCGAGGAGAGAAGAGAGCAACAAAAAATAAATAAAAATAAGAACAAGAAAGGACAAAGAAGAACAAAAAACATGGTTAACACAAAAACAAGAAAACCAACCAAGTGAAGAGAAACAAATGTTTAAACATTTCAGCACGAGTGAATGCATGTGTGTGTGTGGGTGTGTAAGTGGGTGTGTGGGTGATTACACTCTTAATTTTTTTTTTTTGGAATTGCAACTGCTATAGAAATTCAACAAAAAACGTAAACAAACACAAAGCTGAGCTGAATAAGCATCGAGTGCCTTTCTTTTGATGGACTTTAGCCAACTGGAAATAGTTTCTTTTTATCGCAAAACCAAACTTTCTTTGGTTTATCGGAACGCGATTTTTGTTGCTGTTGTTTTTGTAGCTGTAGCTGTAGCTGATGTTGTGGTTGTAGCGGTTGTCTGGCTGTGGTTGTTGCTGTTGTTATCGTTGTCTTTGGACTTATTGTGATGCGACTGCTGCTGTGGCTCGTAGGCCGCAAGCGAAATGGTCGACTGCGATCCGCATAGGGCAGCGGCATATACATTGTATCGGTGAAGATAATTACCTCATTGATGTTCTTTTGCAGATGCAGCGCCTGATTTTGCGCATCCTCCCGGTCCAGATCACGTTCCACCATCAGCTGTTCCACATGCTGTTGCTTCTCGCGTAGCAGATCCTGCAAATCACGAAGAGAGAGGGGGAGAAAGAATGTGTGTGTGTGTGAGTGTGTGTATGTGTGTATGTGTGTGACACAACAAGCGCATGAGTAACAAGTAGAGAAGATAATAGTGTGTACATAAGTGTGAGGGAGAAAGAATGTGTTTTGTGTACAATAAACACGTAAGTTAAAAGAAGGACGGAATAAATCCACAATATTATTCTATACATGTGTATATGTATATATATATATATATATATATGTGTGTGTGTATTTATATATTTATACATATAGGTTGCCGTGTAAAACTGCAAGACTATAAATTAATTACAATTAAATAATAAAAATAAAGAAAAATTTTTTTTTAAATTTAAAATAATGTAGAAAATGTTGCTAACATAATATATATTAATATAAAAAGATAAATAAAAAAATGTATTTATAAAATATATATTTAAAAATTTGGAATAATATTTTAATATATAACAAATAGATTAAATATTGTAATATTCTTTTCTTAAGTTATATATTCTCATTTGGTCAGATAGTCTTGCAGCTCTATTGCGAAGCGAACGGAGGAGGACGCCGTTGACAACCAAAATATAAATAATAAAAAAAAATAGGAAGACAAATTTTTGTGCGCATGCGTAACATGTCAAAACGATAAATAATAAATATTTAAATTAAATATATATATATATCTATATATATATATATATATATATATATATATATATGTATATATATATATATATATATATATCTTATATTGTATATAGTGACACACACAGAGAAGCGTGCACTTAAATTATAAATTTATACCGAACATTTTTTTATTATGCAGCAGGTGTACGAATAGGAGATAATAAAAATATTGGGAACACAGCATAACATACAGATACATATAATAAGATAAGCCAAAATAAAGGGGTGCATGTAGAGTTGAAATATATTTTATAAATATTGTTTTGTACAGCAGTGTCTTTTAGCGTTTAGTTTAGTTGGCCAGGTTAGATTGAGTTTTGAGTTAGTGGCACGCTTAGCAGCTACGTTAGCATAATTAATTAGTCAATAGACACACAGACACACGCTCAAGCGACTTTAACAGCGGGTACAGTAGGCGTGCATGTTAACTAACAGCGCGCACACATAAAGGCTTTTTGGTTTTGATTTTGATTTTGCATACCTGCATGGAAAATTGATTTTTCGGCGTCGTTACAATTGACCGAATGGGCGTGCTCGACTTGCGCTGCATGTGGAGGGGATTAAGAATTAGAATTTTAAAACGCGTTAGTAAAAACTGTAAACAGAGCACGATTAACAGTTAACATTAACAGAATTAGATATATGTATAAAGATAACAGCTGAACTGTGGCAGGTAACTGTGGTAAACAAAAGGTAAACTAAAACTGTGTGTGGCATGTGGCATGTTGTTGCTGTTGTTGCAAGGCCGTCTTATACCTGTGCATTCATGCGTATACGCGACGTGTTTGTCGTGGCTATGCTGTTCATGGTGCCAATCGAGGTGAGAGATTCGCGCGAACCGGTGCGCGATAGACGCGTCTTCTTTGACGATGGCGATAGCGAAACCTTGGCAATCGGCACAAAGACACCAAACTTCGGTTTGCATTCAAAATATCTAAAGATTATATAATCGAGATTATGTTAAAGATTCATTCTCTGCTGAAGAAAGCTGTTCACCTTATGCCATCGACAGCACCATCGTTTTTGCCGCTGCCTTCGTCCAGCTCGACGCCACACCAGTTGCCAGGCGCAAACTGTGTCTCCCCCAGATAGCGCAAGATGCCCGGTCGACTACCAAAGCCCGACGAGACAATCACACGATCGCCCACTGTCAGTCCATTCTCTGCAAACGAACGTAGTTTAGTGAGATCTCTTTACGCTCTCCAATTGGGTTTTACTTACTGCCCGTTCCGGGACTGCGCAGCATGGAACTGCGCATACTGGCGGTTGGTGAAACTGTAAGCGAACGATCCGGCGATTGCTTCGATAGAGGTGAAGTGGGCGTCATGGCGCCCGACAGCGGATATGTGGTGAGACGTGTGAGACGCGAGAAAATGCCGCGCTTTGGCTCACACTGGAAGTAACGTTTGCCCGAGACACAGCCATCATTCTTGCCTGCAAGCACACACACGATCTTTATATACAAGAAGACAGCCTTTATAACGAGCGCAAACCTACCATTTGGTTCATCGAGCACGATGCCTGCCCAGTCGCCGGGCGCAAAGTGTGTCTCGCCTATGTAGGCTATCTGGCCAGAACGCAAACCGCCCACCCACACACGCTGACCAATTATAAACTGCTCTGTGTTGGCTGTCAGCACGGTGCTGTTGTGATCTGTGAATAGATGAGTGTATCATGTGTTATACAATATAGATTCCATATAGATCGTCAATCTTAATTGTTTTTACTGATGATTACTCTCTCTTTACTAAGCGAGGTGGTTTCGAAGAGTAAGGTTTTTAAGGTTTCATGTGCATTGGCATAAATGACATAATAAATATGAGCCTTGAACATGAATATTTATATACAAACAAGCAACTTTACGTTTTGAGCACACCTCGTATATATAGATATATCTTGGCTGTTGTTTTTTTCATATTATATTATTTATATATTTCATTTAGATCATCAATCTCTGTTGATCACGCTCCATGTTTTTGGCTGCGTTTCAGTCACAATTTACACGCCATAAAAACCTCTTTATAGGTGGCTTTTCTTATATATACTACAGATACTGGAATATGATGTCATATGCAAATTGTTCAGCTGCAATTTGCATATGTCGCTTGCAGTCAATGAAAACCATTTGAAGCTGTCATACAAAACACAGCAAAAAATGACTACAACACCATCCCCCGCACAGCAAAGCGCGTTTAGAACGGATATTGGCTATTATATGTATAGATCGATATAGAAAATTGTAGTCCAATGCGCTTGAGAGATCTTCTCTAGTCTAGAACTGACATGACTTCATAGACCCGCTAAAGACAACGCCTTCAAATTGTGGCTTTAATTTAATAAATTACTTGTTGATATTTGATAAATGGCTTTCAGGTTGCCTGGAAAATTACCCAAACAACAAAAATAAACTATAAAAATATAAATAAATGCATGCAAGCTCTGTCATAATGTTTGTATTGTTCGGTTCCCCCATTCATTTATTATTAAGCTGCAAGCACATCGCCCACGTCTTTTTTTTGTTGTATTATTATTTTGGCTTTTTAATGATAATTTTGTAAATTTTTCATCATTAGGTTTTCAAATTTTTGCCGCTGTGCTACGCAAGATGTGTTTTTTGCTGCCTGCCTGCATAAAGGTGTCAAGTTTGAGTTGCTTAAAAATAAGATGTGAATATATATACGAGTATAGCTATGCATATGCATATGCATTAGCTAATTGTGGTGTTCGGGCTAAGCGAATAGTCGATGCGCTACAATTATAAGTAAACAAGAAAATAATGGTTAGTTATGCAGAGTGTGGCCTCTGTAGAGTGAGCCAAAGACCTTGGTCAAATGGATTCATAGAGGGAGAAAAATACAGAGAATATGTTGAAAGGGAAAGTGAATGATATAAAGACAGAGACAGAGAGACAATGTATAGTATGTAGAGCACAATTGATAAGAGTTAAAGTCCTCGGAATCATCCATCTTCGAAGCGTGAGAGTTCACGTAGCGGCTCACTCACACCAGAGATTTTCTGAGCATACAAAAGATGGAATTGACGGGTCATCCGGTTCACAGACTTGATGTGGCACCTAATGATTTCCGTATATCAAAAATTCATAGTGAATTTCACATTTTTTTAGTCTGCAGAAGCCGTTGAAACCTTTAAAGAGCTCGTTTTGGAGGCATTTACTTCTGAGTGGTAAAAGTGCTTTGAAAATTAGTTCAAGCGAAAGCAGAAGAGAAGAAGAATGAAGCCAATTTCAATAAATATTGCATTGGCTAAGCTTGTTAACAAGTCTTGAGATGTTGACAATCTTATATAGAGCCAAGCTGCTGGCTAAAAACGAGAAACTAGCAAGAGAACTACTTAATTTTTAACCCATATATAGGAAATGAAATATTTCATCGGCTTTATCAATAAGATATATCCCCAAATCTTACATAAATAAGGTATGTGACTAAATATTTATGTTATATGTGGAACACCTTGAAAAGTTTAGCAAGTTACATAAATCTAGATAATATAATATTTAGTTGTGTCATAGCTAATGAGTTGATGAGGCAACAGCTGTCAACAGCTTAGCCTTGCGCATCAGTACAGTAAACACCCACAAACAGCGACAGTCAACGGCAGGGTAATTGCTGCTAACAGCTCATTAGCTCTTGTTAATTTGACAATTCTTTAGGTACTGCTTATATCTACATGTAAGCCAGATGAATGCAGATAGACAGCAGCAGAGATTGTGGTGAATTACGTTTAAGGTGCGAGCAACTGGCATAGATTCATATATAAACCACCTGCGCAAATAACTAAGTGACATATGGTGTGTGTGAGTGTGTGTGTGTGTGTTTTAGCAAGCGAACACGTTCTATAATTTTCATGAAATATATATCTATTCAGATATATACACAAGAGATAGACATTAGTTCGTGAGCTGGTCTTTAGCTTACCTGAGCTACGTCGTCGACCTGTGGCCTCTAGATAATAATCGTCTATGGTTAAGCCGAAACAAAAACAAGAATGAAACGAAAACGTAAACAAAGCACAATAACAGTTACAGATAAAGATACAAACAGCGTACAGCATGCAGGTGCTTGACGGAGCAACAGACTTACAAGATGTGCGACGTCCATTGTCGGAGAGCGTTGGAGTTCGAGACTTGAACGAGCTGCGTTCCCAATCGGATGTGGGTGAGAGAGAGGAGCGCGTAAAGCGCTTAACAGTCTCTTGATAGAGATCTACGAACATGTCATACATATATATAAGTTATATATATATATATAAGTTTGCCATTTAAGCAGTAGTTGCATGCGATTTACATGAATGTTAAATGTTAAATTTGAATTTTGCCAAAGTTGCGTATTCTGGTTGGGTGCAGCACAGAGTCGCGTACAGTGAAGCTCTGTTAGTTAATAATTAGCGAATTCGTGTTAATCATATACAACGGCCAACGGCACCCAAAGGTTTTGGGCTGTGTAAGTTGTTATTATGTGAAAGTTGTCTGTGCTGTTTGTTGTTTAATCAGTTATTGGCCGCAAGCAGTTTTGTTAAGGCAAAAGAACTTTCCAGGTGAGTCAAGCAGTCGGGCAGGCAGGTAAAAGTCAATTCTAAACATGTGTTTTAGAAAGGTGATTGAGAATAGAAGAAACTAAGTTTTGACTAAACTTTGCAGAGCACTTTAGAGCTTGCTCAGCTCAAGCAGTAGCTAAAAAGCCGAAATTTGATGGCTCATCATAAAACGAAGTCTGTTAAGCTGGCATTCTCTTCAGTTCAGTTCACTTCACTTGCGTGCGACTTTCAAAATCAATTGTCATAAATTTCCATGAGTCAAAATGAAGAAGCATAAATCAATTAAATTGTCGACAGTTTGGTAACGTTTGCTTGTAACAAATTGCAACAGGCACTGAGCAAGAGAAGAAGAAAACTCGGCTGCTGACAACAGAAAGCAAATTTAAACATTTTTTTGCTGCTCTTTGTGATTTGCACGATTTTGGTTTCCGCTTAATTTACAGCATGACGTATACGCCGTGTAGTTAATTGTGTTTTTGTCAGCGCAAATTGGCTCTTTTTTCATCATCTTCTCTTGCTGTGCACAAAACATGTATCTTAAAGATGCGCGTAAGGCAGGCCTATGAAGTGAGCTACTGTGCAGCTGGCACAGCGCTGTTGTCCGAACGGTAGCCAAGCATGACATGGCCATAAAACTCGCAACAGGCAAACAGCTTCAAGGTTCAATTGTTGCTTGAAAGATACAGCAACAATACATAACAACTCTCCTCTATATCTATATCTTCGTCTCTATACACATACTGGGCAGTCAAGACAATTTGTTATTATTTGCTATTATATTTCGTGACGCTTGCAATTTTTATTTTTTAATTATAACAACAAGCCTTTGTGGCTGCTAAGTGTATCTGTATCTATTCGGCTGTATCTGTGTCTGTAGCTCCCTTTTATTCCACTTTGCGCTTTGCAACTTTCACTGGCGAAACGAAGTTTTACAATTTTGTTTCTGTTCTACATGAAAATGGAAATTGAAAATGAACTCAGCTCGGCTTTAAGACGCTATCTGAACAGCTTCAAGGCTAGTTTGTCGCTTAGTAATATGCCATTCGCTGAAACCTTCGCCAACTGCAGCTCCGCTGAATATGAATCTGAATCTGAGTTGTTGATTTTTAGCATTTAACTGTTAAACTATTAAACGTGAGCGAGTGCTAAAAATACAATTGTGTACGTGTGCGTGTTTGTGTGTTGACAATTTCCTTGCAGTTGACATTCAGTGTCTACACTAATGAACTCATGTATCTGACAGTTACGCTGAATGAATCATCATCAAAGCAGCCGCTGCTGCAACAAGCGAGTGAGTGTGGCGCCCCGAGTCTGCGGCCGCGTCTACAATGCATTGCTAGCCCAATGTTGTTTTGGTCAAAACCGAATAAGCTGATCGGCTGTAACTGGCTGCACAATGCCCGTTCACAATTCCATTGACAGCAAATTCGAGCTTGAAGTCTATCAGCAATTGTCTAGCCACGTGAATATCACATCATTTGGCTCTACAACTACTGCTCAACAGCCAATAGACTCTCGTTTCCAATCTGCGAACGAGTATAAGAAAAAATCGCCGACCCACTTAGCGCACGACTCAGCCCAAATGGATGGACGCCTCCATTTATGGCTGCGCATCGCTTCGGATCGGGCGTGTGCTCGCATGTTCGATCGATAAATCACAGCGGCTCATGTCGCTGGCTCATTATCTATTGAAATGATTAAACAACATTTAATTAAGCTAAACTGAGTGCAAGTGCATGTCGCTGCATGCTAAGGCAACTGCGTTGCCATTGCCATTGCGTGTAGGTCGCGACTAACTCAAATCGATCAAAGCTACAGATACAGATACAAATACAAATAGCTTTGTGCCCAGTTCAAGTGGGTGCTATTAGTCGCACTACGGTCGTTGAACGATTTTCGTCCCACATTGATTAAGTGCTACGTATGTGTGTACTGTAATCAGTCAGGCTGGTCAGACCGCTCACGACTTACATGACTTTTTGGCAGCGCTTACATGCAAATCTCCTTTCAACGGCAAATGCCGCCAAATGTTGCCGCCGCTGCTGTTGCCGACAACCAACGGGTTCCAAAACAGCCGCCAAATACCGCCACATGGCTTAAGCAATTGCTACAGTGAAGCTTTTAAACATTGCTAAAGCCAATGACAATTTAAGCTGAGTTTATCTTTGAATTGAATCTCGTTTATCTATCTATTGGGAGTGTTGGGGTAAAGCTCGCTCTAAAGCCTGAAACCCTTATTTATTTATATTTTATTTCTGTCGGAAAACTCAAAATCTATTTTATATATATTTATATTGGTATCCAAGTGCCTAACTTATTGGTTGGTTCGATCATTTTAAATGTTCACTTGATTTTTGACAGCTTAAATTCTTTATCCGGAGTTAAGGACAGAATCGAAAAAGCCAAAATCAAGAGCCAAAAATTATTTCTTCTCTATACTCAAATGTATAGCACACATGAAATCATATATTTTATAAATTTTATCTATAAAAACTAAAATTAATATTAAAGTCAAAATTCTTTACAAACTTTATTCAAAAACCTCAAATCATTATAATTTTAGAAATTTTCAAAATATTTTTCTAGTTATATGTAGCACTTATTTAGTATTCACTGTATTGCACATAAAATGCAAGATTTTTTTTATCGCAATTAATTTAATTCGCGTGCATTTGCTTTGAGCAGAAAAAATAATTGCATTTAATTTTCTATGATAATATTCGCTGATGTTTTCAACGCCAGCTTTTTCTGTACTTTGTTTGTATTTTAAATAGAATATTTAAATGAACGCCCAGGCGCGATCGCCTGAGAATTTCACCAAATGGAAAACTGGTTTTCAGTCGAGTTGTGATTTTTGGTATTTAGATGCGGCGCAGTAGTTGCTGCTGTTGCTTTGCCAGATTTTTCAGGTTTTCGCCAGCGACCAAGCGACTTTGGAAGGCGTTTTTCGTAAAATGTCAATAGTATAAAAATTATTATTGTCATAAAAACAAAAAAACAACAAAAGGTGCCAAAAATGTGGACGAGGCAGCTGGCTTAGAAAAAAATTAATTGATATACCGGTAAGAAACGGTAGAGGCACCTCAACAAGCGCCCCATGGATAAATCTAGTGTGTTTCTATACTCGTGCATATAGAGCGAAGCGAGTTTATTGGATTTTGCGAAAAGTTTATACAGAACATGTTTAAACTTATGTGAACCTAATAAAAAGATGTTGATCTAAAGATTCTTAAGATTTACTTTTATTGTGACTGGTAAATTGGGATTTCGCTTACCAAGTTTTGAGACCTACTCTACAGATGCCGTCCTCTTTTACTTTTACTAATGAAAGTTACTAACATGTGAAGCTGTCATAGAGCTCAATTGTAAAATATATTTTTGTTATTTTTATGCCTTGAACGAGTATTGTGCAGTCAGCTGCATTCGACCGCAGCAATTTAACGTGTTTTTTGTCTGTCGCGTATTTCACATTACAATTTAAATTGTATAATTTTATACGCATATACTTAGAACGTGTTTAGCATTTCAAATGCCGTAAAGACCTCAGCTGAGAAGGGCAATCGAACAAAATATAAAAAACCCCAACTAAGCTAACTATACATAAGCAATTGTCCAGGTATTTATACTCTATGGCTGAACACATTTGCTTAATGAAAATGATGTTATTTAAGAGCCCATTCTATGGGCACATAAGCGATTAAAATTATAGTTAAGTTCATAGTTAAATCAATTGTTGAAAGTCGTTTCGAGCGTTGCCCAGCGGCTGTCAATTGACAACTGTAGATCGGAAATTGTTGCTGCATACTTAAGTAAGCAATTGATCATTGTGATAGATCAGCCAACAAATTGAGGTCAAGTCGAATGGGCGAAAGTGTGAGAAGAAGATGAAATGCGAAATATTTGTGAAACAGGAAATTCTTAACTTCAATATCATAAGTCATAAATTAATTTTTTATTTTCAATAATTATTTTATTATTTGTCAATTGAGACACAGATTAGAGCCGTCAAATTTGACTTCCAGTTTATGGATTTATCTTTGTATGTTTGCCACGATATGTGTTAATTAAACCGCATTAATATGTTGATGAAATGCACGGCCAAGTGTAAATATTTAAATGTAAAATGATAAAAAAAATTTGATTGTAACTAAAAATATATTTACCTGTATACGCCGAATTGATCGAACTCAAATTGTCATCGCTTTCACGACTCATGCTGTTCGTGTCTAAAAATAAAACAGAAAAACATATAACGGAAGCAAAGAAAAGAAAAACATCAGCCAAATGAGCATAACAAAATAACAATAATAATAATAATAAACAATATATATACATATATATAAATAAGTGTATGTTGAGCACATGCTGAACCATCGAGAATAAGAAAAGGTAAATTAAATTAAGATTTACGCTACTTACGAACCACAATTGGGGGCAGTGCCAAAGGGCGATGGATAGAAGAGATCCCATAATTCAGTAAATTACATATATATATATTCATTTGATATTCAGGGCAAAGCAACGGGCCAGCTAATTGGCCAAGAAAGCAAACGGCGGCACAACAACAAAAACGCAAATGTGCAAATAGCAATTAGTAGCCGGTAAAATTACCGACTCGAACTCGAACTCGATACATGTATATATAGATACATATATATTGTGTATTTTGTGTGGGCTGGGCAAGCGCAGTTAACAAATTGCACAGTTAAGCGAGTTATATAAACGTTCGATAAGCAACGTCGAACAGGTGAACGTAGCCCAGCTAAAAATATACATTTGCATACGACACAATCGAATCGAAAACACTTAAAGCTTGTCCAGATATAAATAGATATTTTGGAGCTACTCAAAAGTGAGTCGGCTATTAGTGAAAGACACACAAACTAAGTCGGTTGTCCCTAGAAGATACTCAGCCCAATTCGATAAGATACTCCTCAAATAGTTTCAAAATACAAAAGATTTATGTAGACTTATAAACTTTGACAGGCAGCTGAAGGATACTCAAACGATAGTCAAGCAAAGATAATTAAAATATATTAAAACCTATTCGACAGGCAATAAGCTTAACTATCTTTCAGTCTATAAATATCTACAATACATTTAAAGATTGTTTATAGAAATATGTTTAAAAGATACTTTATACCCTTCATCAACAAGCGACAGTTAATCGAAGATACTTAAATGTCTTAAAGATACTCAAGCTTAGCTGCGCATGAACAATGGCAGTTAAAAGATACATTAGTATCTTAAAGATATTCAAAGTACAGAGCCAGTGAGTAAAATATACTTTTATATTTATCAATAAGCTAGTCAAAGGTTTGTCATCACTCAAGTTTAGCTGAGCATGAGCAATAGTTAGTGAAATATACTTATATATCTGCAAGCCAATAAATAAATAAATATCTTTAAGATTCTTTTTTATAAGCTTACTACAATCAGATAAAGATACTTAAAGGCCTTTAATCTTCTTCAGCTTAGCATATGATAGTTAGTCAAAGATAGTTAAATTTAACTGACAGTCGATACATTTAAATATTCTAGAGATACCCAAAGTTTGTAGTAAATAAAATACCTTAAAGATACTTATGCTTGTCGACAGTCAAACGAAGATGCTTAAACATCTGTCAGACACACAAACATGTCACCCAGACGCGTAGCATCTTTGAGCAAGAATCTGTGGGGTGATCCATCAACTTTGGAAACCTTTAGCTGAACACTCGTTCCGACAAACGACTCTAGCAAGCATTTTAATGACCTATTAAAAACGTCAATGCGAATCAGTAAAATCAACGAAATCGACAAATTTGCAAATCAGCCAAAACGTTCTCCGGCTTCTGACATTTACCGGCGAACGTTACGGCGTGTTTTCGTTACGGCTATTGCAAATGTGCGCACTCGAAAAGTGCCGGTAAATTGCAAATATTTGTAGATTGTACACATAATCAAGCTGAGCACCTATATAGGGTATGTTGAACTAAACGCACGCTTTCGCTTGTTTGTCTGCAAAGATTTTATGTAACTGGAAACAAATAAAGAAAGATTGGTTTAAGAGGAAAAAGATAACTCAAAACAGATTAAAAATGCTTTAAAAGTACTTTGCAGCAGCTTTTTGACTATATCTGAAAACAACAGTTGTTTTTCATAACTAACAAGAAAATAAACATCGATTTAAAGCATATTATAAAGTTGGAGTTGTACTTTCTATAGCTTTATACAGTTTTCTGATAAAGCAAATTGAAATTTCATGATTAATTTACCGGGTATCTGCCAGTTGTGTAATGCCCGAATGCAGCATTCTTCATAATTTGCTTGCTGAATAATTAACAACAAAATGCGGCGCGACGATGGCTCGCAGAGTAAACAAACGTGCAAAACAGTCGCTGAATATAGAATTGAAGATGTCTGGAGTTTTGGTTATTATTATTTGTTGTTGTCCGCTTAACTGATCGAACATGAGGAATATATATCTATATTTATACGTGTGTGTACAGCTCAATAGCTGGGCAACTGTTGCCGCGTGTCTCGCCAGATTAAGATTGAGAAAACAACTTAATTACGCCTTGTGCTTTATGCCAAAAAATTATGAAAAGAGCCTTCAAATATGGCCAAACACAATTAAGAGCTGAAGTAATTTGCTTCTTTTGGCCGGTAGCCATAAATAATAGCAAAATGTATATAATTATTAATTTAATGACTTTTGATTTTTGTTTCTTACTCGAATTGTGATACAAATTATGCAACCCACACGCATCGAAATCCGTTTTTGTGGGGCGTGGCAGTCAGTCTAATTGAATCTGCGGGCTATTTAACAGTTATGCGAAATGGCGTGCAGACAAAGCGATCGAGCTGTATCAGGTGAATATTATAGTTGAAATTGAACTGTGAACCATGAACTATAAGCTTGAAGGTATTGCAAAAACCAGTAAGAGTGATCCAATGCAGGAGTGCCCGACTAGGAGATACTATGAAACCTGCGTATAGAAACAAAGACATCTTTACAGACTTATAGGTGGTTAGATCTACTCTGTACGTCCTCCTCATCAAACACATATAAGCTCAACAGGATCTACCACGGCTGCTGCTGCTTGTCTGTTTGTGCAGAGCTGCGAAAATGCTGTTGTTTCGTGGATGAATTAATGTAAACTAAAGTCTACAGACTCAGAAGCAGACATGCTGCCCTGATGTATTCATGCAAAACATTGAAGTAATAGCGGTGATCACATAAACATTCAGATCACTGTAGATGTTTCTGAAATTGACCCTGATCTCTTGGTGTTAGATGTGTATTACAACAGAGGCTAAACAATAAAACACGGCAACAAAATAGATGAGGCAATAAAACTAATCAAATTTCTGACGGGCTTAAGAGAAACATATTTAAAATAAAAAATTAATAAGGTTAATAGATTTTGTGCAATTTTGTTGTCTTGTTTTTAATTTCTTTTGTTGTCTTCTCATACTTTACATTTTAAATTAAATTTAAACTGTAAAGCTAAAGTTTCTGCTCTCACTTACTGTAACAACAACTGGTTGAATAATATTTACAAAGTTGCGCTTGGGAGTTGCCTGGGCAGCACTTAGCACCATGTTAAATGGAACTTTGGAGTGCCACGTTTAATAATTTCGAGAGAAAACAGCTGCGACCGGGGCTTTCGAGTGTCTGTTTCAGTAAGTGACACGTTAATTTATTTGCCTTTGGCTTAGAACAATATCGCATTCGAAATAATTAAAAGCACTCAAGTGTGCGCAACAACAATACAGAAAAACCCATTTGAGTGTGATTAAAATTGTTGTTTAATTGTTTGAAGCAAATACACTATGGGCAGCAGCTGGAGCATGACAACGCATAAGGGAAGTGAATAGGTGTATAAGGAAATGTACGCACTTCAAGAGTGTCGAGCAACCCTCGCAAGAAGTTGATTGGCGCTCTTTGGTCTGTGGGTAGTCCGCGCCATAACGAACTCTGCCATTAGGCGCATATTACACACAAGCTCAGAGGTTAATAATTCATTAGCAGCAAAGCTAGACAGGTGAATTTTTGTGTTTTTGCCGCATCAGAGTACAAAGCTGGGGACCCTAATGGGTTTGTTTACGCTGAAAACCGCTTAGAACTCAAAGAAAGCAACGGAGCGAAAAGACAAAAGTAAATAAAAAGAGCAAAAATATTTCCTGTGATATTTCAGCTGCTGCAAGAGTGATGACAACATTGGAGCTATGCAAAACGTTCCATGGACCAGACGTGGTAGCCCATCAACATTAATTAACCAATTTCGGCAAGACCTGCAGCTAGGCAAGTCTATTCAACTACAGAGAAAAAAGTAAAAGCTACCTGCGGAAGAGGGAAAAAAACACAAAGTTTGAGGCGTATAAAATGCAATTAGCAACTGCCGCGATTGCCGCAATGCGACAGCTGCTAGTTATGCCATGTAACTTAGCGGAAGGCAGGCAGGCTTACGAAGCGCATGTGTAATATTAGCAAATATTAAGCATACGCTACATATGCCGACGCAGATCGTTAAGAAGTGACTTCCATCAAGAAATTGATTGCTATGCAACTTGTACTGATGCAGTCCTATGGTGCGTATGCGCAACATTCAGAAACATTACTCATACGGCGGGTACACCTACGCGGATGCGCACATAACGTTCTAGAACAAATAAACCGAAGCTGAGCTCATTGCGCCAAAATGGCTACAAAAGTAAATTCAAAAAAATAATAAACAAATATGTAAACAAACTGTTCAAACAGCGACACGTTCGACCAGATGACGCCACAATCTATTGTTGAACAGCACAAAAAAAAACCAATTTTAACGACAACTCATAAAGAACGGACCAAATACATGGATGCTACCAATATGAAATGCTGCTATATACTACATAGTTCAGTTCAGATCGATCTTTCAGTTTATCGATGCTCACAAATATGGCGAAAATTCTCGTAACGTCTGCGCCCACAGCTGCCTTTGCCTTTTCGAACCGTGTGTGTAACAAATAAATATCTAATTGATGCGATACAGTTGTGTAAGCGAGGGAGGCGTAGTGGCGGTGGGCGTGGTCACGTCAGCGTCAGCATCAGGGTGTTAATTTAAAAGCAAATCTACACATGGGAAGCTTGAACAGTTTCCGAACTAGGTACAAATTTTAGATTATATTTTAAAAATTCTTTGTTATATTTATATTGTACTATATTTTTCTCTCTTTAGCCAAGGTGCCACTCTTTTCT